CGCTTCCGATTCAATATTCTCCCTGTGTTCTTCGCGCCGTAATGCCATAAATCTGCGCTCGAGGAGTTAAGACTTTCGGCGTTGTTCTTATAAACTTCATGCTTCGTTTGTTGTGAGCTCGTCTTCTTGAAGGACCCGAAAAAATGCGTAGATGACATAGTGGATGGCCAGATTGCGTCACAAAAGGAAGGATCAAGTTGAGTTCAAAACGAAAAAAATTCAAAAGCTTCGGCATATGGCGGCATGCCGAAGCGTCTGCATTTCCGAAATCAGTTTTTGGAGATCTGTCGGGAAAATAATGAAAATTCTTGCCGCAACACAATTGTTTTTCACAGAGGAAGTACTCCAAGTGCGACGCTCACATTTTCTTTAAATTTTGCACACACGTCGGGTATGGACTGAATATCAATTCCTGAAAGTTTTAGCTCGCGCTTTGCGGGCGCCGCCGAGATATCGAACGATTGTTGCCGCCGAGAGAGCACGCTAAACTTGGAGAGCGGTCAGAGAGAAAAGCGCTTTTTGGCCATAACTTTGGCAGTTTCGTGCGGAAAAATTTGATTTTTTGAAACATTATCTGAAACATTATCCTTTACGCTAGAAATAGGCATGAGACTTTTCGTGCCGAAATTCAGCAAAAAGTCCAAAATTTTGGCCGACTTTCGTCCTAAAAATCTCGATTGTTTCTGCAAAGCGCGAGCTAGGATTCTCGCATATATCATATAAAAAATTATTCTAAATTTGTGCCAAGTTTTATCAAAATCTGAGCGTCGCACTTGGAGTACTTCCCCTGTCAGTTTGGATGCAGCAGAGTGCTCATTATTTTCCCGACAAACTGATAGATGCAAAAACAAAAAAAATTTTGACAAAATTTACTGTTGGGAAAATAATGTGGATTCTTCGAGCCTTCAAATCGCCCATCATCGCCTTGCAACGGCTAGCCATAGCTGGAGATTTGATTCGCGACTGCGACGAAGATAGGCATTTTGCCGCGAAAAATCCACATTATTTCCCCGACAGACTTATTGCTGAGGCGAATAAGTTTGTTTGAATCGCTAAAAAACATGATATTCTACAAGCTTAGTGACCCGCATCAACCTTGTAGTGTTATAATACTTTATATCCGATTTTTGAGGATTTAATCTTCTCTGTCGGGAATTTGATTTCCATACATTTTCAATTCACTTTTTACGGAAAAATTCCGATTTTTGTGGCACTCTTTTCTAATAAATCCGTGCTTGGTTTTATGAAAATCATCAAATTTATTATTAATATTTTCACAAAGTGCGTAGAATTTTTTCGCCTTTATCGCGGACGCACAGTTGATTTTTTGCCTTTTATCCAATACCAGTCTGTCGGGAAAATAACGGCGGATCGTCGCGCCTCGGAATCGCTCATCATCGCTTTGCGACTGCAAGCCGCGGCTTGGGATTTGGTGCGCGATAGCGGCGAGGCGAGACATGTTGCTGCGACGATCCGCCGTTATTTTTCCGACAGACTGATACTTATCGCTTTGCTTGCATTTTGCGACGCCGACGGCACCATGCGAAGAAATTCAAGGCTTTTTGGCCCGCCTATCAGCCTGTCGGGAAAATAATGTGGATTTGTCGCAGAAAAATGTCTCGCCTCGTCGCAGCCGCACACCAAATCTCCAGCCGCGGCTAGCCGCCGCAAAGCGATGATGGGCGATTCTAAGGCGCGAAAAATCTACATTATTTACGTATTTTCTCGGCAAACTGATAATCGGCACTTTGTCGCCGTGCCCGACCACGTCGCTAAAGTAAAAACTACAGGTATCACGGTGAAAATTGGGGTTTGCACTGTGCATCTTGCCTGGTGGTTAAAGATCTACACACTTTACAAAAATGCAAGTAAATGCGTGCCCAGTTTCATGAAAATCTGCGTGTCGCACGTTCTGCACCTCCTCGAAATTGTAACGCCAAGTTTTTGCTTTTTTTCCTCGTCCAAAACTCGCGCAGTAATATCGTACTAATTATACTTTGCGCCTTAAAAATCGCTGGCTCTTGTCCATTTCACCTGAGGTCATTCTCGCGGCGGGGGTCTAAGCTGTTTGTCCACTTCGAAGGGAGTGAGTGCGGTCATCCAGCGGTTTTGGACTTATTTGCGCAGATGACGCAAAAATAACCAAAAAGTTCGTGCAGTCGATTTTTAAATAATATGTATTACTCATCGCGAGCCGTTTAATCGCTTGTCCTCGGAGAGGAGGGCGAACTCTGACCTGGAGCAATATGTTTTTATCATTTTTACGGGCTGTGGGCTAATTTTCTGACCAATTTGAGTCAGTACTGGCAGCAGGGAGGCTTACACTTTCCGGGTGAAATAGATACTGTTTGGGCAGTGCTAGAAATTTCAAATATTACTCAAGCTTGACAAAAATTTAGATCAGTCCTTCTAAAAACATGTCTGACTCATACCTCGAGCTCTCCAGAAACAGGCGCCCAAAGTAAAACGCTCAGGTTTTGATGAAATTTGGCAAAATTTAGACCATCTTTTCCAAGACATATATAATTTTTCCAGAAACGTGCGAGGTTTTCAGGTCAAAAATTGCGGTAATTGTAGCACTTTTTTCAAATTTCAGCATGTAAAGTTTCTTGGCTATTCCAATCGTATATGATAACGTTTCCGCAAAAAATCAATTTTCTCGCCCCAAAGCTGATAAAGATATTGCAAAAAAAACCTTTTTTTCTTTCTGTCCGCTCTCCGCTTTTCGCGAACTCTCTCGGCAGAAAAGATTATAGTGTGTGCGAAATTCAAAGAAAATTTGAGTGCTGCATTTGGGATCCTTCCCTTTTTAATTTGTGCCTAGTTTCATTAAAATCTGAGAGTTGCGCTTTGAGCAGTTTTTGATTTTTTTTTATTTTTTTCAATACAAATTTTTTTATTGACTTCAAGTCTCTCCCACTGCCTTCGTTCAATGAGCATTAGCATGGTAATTGATATACCATCAAAATTATGGGCAAATCTGAATTCCTTATGTTCAAAACTTACATTCTCAGCAACCCCTTGCTGTTTTGTTTTTAAACGCCAATTAAAAGACGATTTCTGAGTCAGTGAATCAGCCGCCAGTTAGCCGTGGACATAGGAAAAAATCGATTTTGAGTTTTTTGCATTAAAATGACTGTTGGAAGGGGCTAAGCAAAAGCGAACAATATTTTTTCCCAAATCCTTCGTTAAGGTATATTTTTTTACAATTAACTGTTTTATAAGTAATCGCCTCTAGCTGTGGTATCTTGCCTTACAGTGCAGTGATTTGACGGCTACTGTAGTTTTTGACCCTTGCGAACACGATGGAGTGATTATTTTTCCCGGTTTCCTACTGTAACATACCGTAATACCGTATCGACCGCTAAAAAACGGTCGTAAAATCTTTGTTTCTAAAAACCCCCAGCTGATTTTTTGATATGTTAATCAGCGTAAAATTCTGCTCTAGACCCAATCAAAAAAAGTGCAAAAAGTGGTGCGACAAATTTCGTGGTGTAGTGGTTAGTGTGCGGGACTACCATTCCAGCGTCCCGGGTTCGATCCCGGCTGGGTGCAAATGTCAAAAAAATGCCGCAAATCAATTTGAATGTAAAAATAAGGAATGTCCGAAGAACACAAAGCAATTTTAAATGATTATGACACCTCTGTTTTCGAGTAAACCCTGTTTAATGTAATATTAGCGGTTGAAAACGGAAAAAATAAAAGTGCTTCAAATGTGATAAAATTTATAGATATGCTTCTACAGGTTATTATAAGAAACTTTTCCGTTAGTCTTTTTTTGTAACTTACAGTATAACGGATTACTGTAGCATAATGCAGAATTTCGTATTTTGCGTTCTACATGGCGAAAGAGAGCTGGAAGTAAAGTCATAATGTGCAGAATTATTACCAAGAAGCTTATCTGTGAGAAAAAATATTTTTTATGGCAGGATGATTTGGTATACCTGAATAATCTTTCACCGTATTAGCGATCAACGATGACGTCAGAACATACTCGAAATAATTTGGAATTTTGTTTCGGATAACAAAAGGCGACTTTTTTTGCTGGCAGAGCGGTCTAACAAAAAATCCCAGCCTTTTTTCAAGAACATCGAAGGGAAAATCGATTTTTTATAAATAGTTTCATGTTACAGTAATCCGTTATACTGTAAGCTACAAAAAAAGACTAACGGAAAAGTTTCTTATTATAACCTGTAGAACCATATCTATGAATTTTATCACATTTGAAGCACTTTTATTTTTTCCGTTTTCAACCGCTAATATTACATTAAACAGGGTTTACTCGAAAACAGAGGTGTCATAATCATTTAAAATTGCTTTGTGTTCTTCGGACATTCCTTATTTTTACATTCAAATTGATTTGCGGCATTTTTTTGACATTTGCACCCAGCCGGGATCGAACCCGGGACGCTGGAATGGTAGTCCCGCACACTAACCACTACACCACGAAATTTGTCGCACCACTTTTTGCACTTTTTTTGATTGGGTCTAGAGCAGAATTTTACGCTGATTAACATATCAAAAAATCAGCTGGGGGTTTTTAGAAACAAAGATTTTACGACCGTTTTTTAGCGGTCGATACGGTATTACGGTATGTTACAGTAGGAAACCGGGAAAAATAATCACTCCATCGTGTTCGCAAGGGTCAAAAACTACAGTAGCCGTCAAATCACTGCACTGTAAGGCAAGATACCACAGCTAGAGGCGATTACTTATAAAACAGTTAATTGTAAAAAAATATACCTTAACGAAGGATTTGGGAAAAAATATTGTTCGCTTTTGCTTAGCCCCTTCCAACAGTCATTTTAATGCAAAAAACTCAAAATCGATTTTTTCCTATGTCCACGGCTGACGCACTGACTCAGAAATCGTCTTTTAAAGTGACCCTTCCTCCTTTTCGCGCGTTAATCTCCATGTCCAAATCGTACCATTCAAAGCGAATTTCCCGCTGCCTCCATCGGCTACTCCCTTTCACTCGTTTCAGATCTCTTCGAGGCAGAATGGGAGTTTGTACAAATCGCCGGGCCCATTGCTTCAAGTTGCTCCTGATCCTCGGCACACTCTCGGGAATCTCGCTTGGCAGTATTACAAAAACCGATGTGAGTTTTGGAAGTGCTATCTATCAGTCTGTCGGGGAAATAATGAGCACTTTGTCGCATCAAGCCGCCGAGAAAATGAATTGCCTTCGCGGCTGCGAACTTACTCTCTCGGCGGTAAAGATCGTTCCATATCTCGGCGGCGCTTGCAAAGCGCGAGCTAAAACTTTCAGGAATTGATATTTAGTCTATGCCCGACGTGTGTCCAAAATTTAAAGAAAATCTGAGCGTCGCACTTGGGGTACTTCCCTTGTTAGCAATATCGTACAAAGTAAAAAATTTTGACCAATTTCCAGGTAGTCGATAAAACAAAAGACTCGGAGGAGACCACGCTGAACTCCAAGGACTTTGAGAATGCTCCGGAAAAGGATGTTGATCTCAAAATGATTGGAATAAATGTGCCCGAAGACCCGACCATGGGCTCGAAGGCGGAAGGTGACATTCTGATGCCAAAGACAAAAGAGAAAAAGTTTTTGGATGAGCGGACTGGCTTGGGGAGGAATGCCATACGGCAGTCTTATCGGTGAGATTTTTTTTACATTGAAAATCCATATTAGTAATTTTATATATATATTTTTACCTGTCTGTCGGGAAAATAATGTGGAATTTTCGCGCCTTAAAATTGCCCTTCTGCCAGGAGACTTGAATTCTTGCTAAAAATTTTGCTAAAAAAATCAAATCCACATTATTTTCCCGACAATCTGAGATGCTATCAGTCTGTCGGGAAAATAATGTGGATTCGTCGCGCCTTAAAATTGCCCTCCTGCCGGGAGACTTGAAATCTTGCGAAAAAATTCAAATCCACATTATTTTCCCGACAATCTGAGATGCTATCAGTCTGTCGGGAAAATAATGTGGAATCCTCGCGTCTTGAAATCGCCCGGCGGCTAGGACCGCGATGAGGTGAAAAAATATTGCTGCAACAAATCCACATTATTTTCCAGACAGATTGATATTAGTGTTTTTATAAAGTGCATGGACTTTTGTCATCGTCCGCACCGTGCACAAAAAACCCCCATTTTGCACCGTGCATTTCGCTTTTTTTTGGTTTTTTCGCACTGTGCATTTGAAATGTTGCTGCGACAAAGCGAAATTTCAACTTCAAATTTGCACGGTGCAAACGGCTTTTTTGCGGATTGCACAGTGCGAAAGGAGAAAATTGCACTGTGCGTTGGCGACAAGCGTGGGAAAAAGTTCAAAATGCACTGTGCAGTTTGTCGCATTCCGCACCGTGCACAAAAACCCCCCATTTTGCACCGTGCGTTTCACTTTTTTTGGGTTTTTTGCACTGTGCATTTGAAATGTCGCTGCGACAAAGCGAAATTTCAACTTTGTCGCTGGAAGTTTGCACGGTGCAAAAAGCTTTTTTTTAGGTTCGCACAGTGCGAAAAGAGAAAAATGCACTGTGCGTTGGCGGCAAGTGCGGGAAAAGGTTGAAAATGCACTGTGCGAAAGAAAAAAAAATGTCCATGCACTTTATGCAAATACTAGTCGCGGAAAAAAGTCCTTAGAATTTTTCGCGACCCCCAAATCCCGTCGCACCCCGAAAAGTCGATTTGTCGCTGAGAGAAATGGGAATCGCGCGCGACAATAAGGCAAAAACAACAAAATTGCACTGTGCAAAAGCACTTTTCGGGCCGGATGCACGGTGCAAAATGTGTTTTCGTGTGAATGCACAGTGCAGAGTCGCAGAAAATTCTAAGGACTTTTTTCCGCGACTAGTACTAATATCAGATCTGTCGGGAAAATAATGTGGATTTGTCGCAAAAAAAAATATTTTGCCTCGTCGCAGAAAATCTGCAGCCCATCTGTCGCAAAGCGATTTCAAAGTGCGACAAATCCACATTATTTTCCCGACAGACTGATATAGTATTATATTAGTATTTTCATAAAGTATTAAGCTCGTAATCTTCGTGTTGTTGCAGTAAATGGCCGAACAACGAGATCCCCTACACACTCAGCACACAATACGGAACGTATTCGCGCTCAGTCATCGCCAAAGCCATGAACGAGTACCACACAAAGACGTGCGTCAGGTTCGTGCCAAGGGACACGAAAAAACATCGTGATTATGTGTACATTCACCCCGACGACGGTTGTTATTCGTTGGTGGGCCGTGTGGGCGGACGACAGCCGTTGAGTTTGGATTCGGGATGTATTCAGACCGGGACGATTGTTCACGAGCTCATGCACACGGTCGGCTTCTTTCATGAGCAGTCCAGGTAGGTGGAGTTGTAGACAACTGATGTGAGACGAAAATTGAAAGAACTACCTATCAGTCTGTCGGGAAAATAATGAGAATGACGAGGCTGTGCCGATCGCGTCGCTGAAGTGAAAAGCAATTTCATTTTGCCGCGACACACTTCATTTTCTCCGCGGCGATGCGATTTTCGATGCGACAGAGTGCTCATTATTTTCCCGACAAACTGATAGTTGCGCACTGTGAGAACCACGACAAAAAGTCTACGTACTTTCTGGAACGGCTAGTATCTCTGCCAATTTTGCGCGGAAAAAACGATTTTTTTATAGAAATATTACCCTTTACAGTAGGAACAAGGCTGAAAGTTTTCATGGATAAACTCTTAAAAAAGTGTCGATTTTTGAGCCACTTTTCTGATTTAAAATCTCAATTATTTCTGCAAAGGACAAGTTAAAATTCTCGGGTATTTTTTGAGAAAACAAATGGGCAGAAAAAGCAAAAAGTCTTGATAATTTGAACTGTGAATTTTTTATCTTTTTGTCTTTTTTTTGTCATATCAGTCTGTTGGGAAAATAACGGCGGATCGTCGCAGCAAAATGTCTCACCTCGCCGCTATCGTGCACCAAATTCCAAATCGCGGCTTGCAGTCGCAAAGCGATGATGGGCGATTCCGAGACGCGACGATCCGCCGTTATTTTCCCGACAGACTGATACAAAATGGGCTATTCCCATTTTTCGCAGCGATGAATCATTTTTTTTCAGAGTGCGACAGAATTCAGGGCCGCGATAAATTATCTGAAATTTTTGTCTCGACTAGTATATTTGTCCCAAATTTCTCTAAAATTTGAGCCTCGCACTTCCAACCCTTCCTTTTCAACTTTTTCACCATCTCTTTCAGATACGACCGTGATCATTACATTGAAATCGTGTGGCCCAACGTGATCAACGGCGCCGACGACCAGTTCGAGAAGTACGGCACGAACGTGATCGACCAATTCAACGAGCCCTACGACTACTCCTCCATCATGCACTACGGCCCGTATGCGTTCAGTGCGAACGGGAAGCGGACGATTCTGGCGCGACGGCCGGGCTCTCAAAAAATGGGCCAACGAGTGCAGTTTAGTGAGGTGGATTTGCGGAAAATCAATCGGTTGTATCAGTGCGACGCGCAGACCATGATCAAGAAGCCGCCCCGGCCTCAGCTGCCGATTCAGGTAAACGGGAACGCCGCCGATTCCGCCGCCATGAATAACGTGTCGAAAGGCGTGGCGGGCGTCGCGGCCGGCCTCGCCATCGGCTCGGCAAGTCGCTTAACTAACAGAGCTAATAACTTTGCAAATCGGGTCATCTCGGGCCAAGGACTGGCGACAGTTCAGCTCGCGAGGAAGCCCTTCTCGCCCTTCAACCGAAATCGATTCGCCTACGGGATTCGGAGTCGATGAGGAATGCTCACACTAACCGCTACAGCCTCACTAACATTCACTGTCCAGTTTTTAGCGTCTAATACTACATCATCTGAACAATTTTTCGTATTATTCTGTCGGGAAAATAATGAGCACTCGGTCGCAGCGAAAATCGCATCGCCGCCAAGAAAATGAATTGTGTCGCCGCAAAATCAAATGGCTTTTCACCGCAACGATGCAATCGGCTCAGCAACATTGCGGTCATTATTTTTCCCGACCCACTAACAATAAGACTAAAAATTGATCGCCTAAAGTAAAACAGGGCCTTCTTGCAAGAGAAGTCTTTGAGGTGGGGCAAACAGACTTAAAAGTTGGCTAATATTTAGAGTATAACTTTGTAGGAGGTATGAGAGTTTCGTCCCTTCCGCTATTTAGGAATTACCGAGTTTTTTTGACCAAAGGCGGGAACTTTTGATACTTTTTTTGCTATTTTAACCTTAAAAAATTCAAGTTAGTTACATATAGTACTGTAAGATACCTCCTCAACAAAAAGTCCCTTCAAAATGGAGTTCTTTTAGTTGGATAGGGAGGTATTTTGCTATATTTTTTGATACTTTGTGGATGCAAAATGGTACTTTTTCTGCCACTGGATCAGGTCCACCGATATAGTCTACAACTGCTCAAAATTGTAAAAAAAACCAAAGTGCCCCACCTGAAAGACTTTTCTTCTTGACAATGTCCCTTCATCAGCTCATAAAAAGCTTTCGTCCTCCACATTAAGCCTTTCTATTGTGTCTGCCAGGTGCTATATCGAAATTGCAAGTCTTTCGTCATACTTATCGTGCAATACCAACAATTTTACATCCATTTACGGCTTATCATATATTTTGTACATATTCCGTTGACTGCTTAACTTATTAATCGCATGTTTTACACAGTAAACAGTTGTTATCGATGGCTTATGCTTGTAATTTTGCTTGAACGCTTAAAAAATACTTTTTATTCAGCCACAAAATCACTTTTTTTATTTGATTTCGTATTTTAGAGATATAATTTCTAACATTTCAACGTCTTTTTGTTCGATTTATTGGTTCTTCACCGCACCTCTCACACACCAATCCATTTTAGGAGCCCACAATCACACCCGATCCACCACTTAGCACCACTTCTTCGCCAATAACCACCTCATTGCCAAAGGAAAAAAAAGAAAATGCCCTGAAACCCACGAAAATCAAGTCGGAGCCGGAGGGAAAAGCATCGCCGGAGAAGCCCATGCCTCCGACAGGCTCCGACGGAGATAATGCGAAGCCGGCAAACTCCACAAACACACACATCTCCCTGTCACCGCACGAAACCCACCGCCAATTCACGCTTTTCCGCGTCCCTCGCCACTACATGAAGTTAATTTTGCGAATTTTTTTCACTGTTTTGTTTAATAACCAAATTTCGGAGGGTCAGAAAAACGTTTTTAAAAGTTCTATCAGTCTGTCGGGAAAAGAATGAGCACTCTGTCGCAGCGAAAATCGCATCGCCGCAGAGAAAATGAATTTTCTTTGCGGCAAAGTCAAATTGCTTTTCACTTCAGCGACGCGACCGGCAGAGCGAGATTCTGCCCATTATTTTCCCGACAGACTGATACTATGTTGTTTCATAAAGTGCGCAAACTTTTTCCGCCTTTTATCGCAAACGAAGCATTTTTTTCCAATACTTGAGACGCACGTCAAACTGAGGAGTCTGGTGACCGGAATAGACCCTTCGCTATCGGTTTTTTACACTTCGTCTTGATTTCACAGAGAAGACAGAGAAAAGACGCGCTAAAACGTACTCTCTCGCCTCAAAAATTCCCCATTTTTCTCCCGACAAAAAAGATTTTTCGCCTCGTTTTTAGCCAATTGCCAATCCATTCACCGGTTTGATAAAAGTAGCGCATACTAAAACTGGACGGAGCAAAACCGAGTTTTTTTTTTTGTTTTTTTGCCTAGCCACGAAGAGTCTGCGCACTTTATTAAAATATTATCAGCCTGTCGGGAAAATAATGCGGATTTGTCGCAGCAAAAAATGTCTCGCCCCGCCGCAGTCGCCCTCCAAATCTCCAGCCACGGTAAGCCGTCGCAAAGCCATTATGGGCGATCCCAAGGAGCGGCAAACCCACATTATTTTCCCGACAGACACATATTTCTTCGACAGACTGATAGTAGCGATTTATATTGCAGGAAGTCGGTCACTTTATCATCCAACCGAACGGACGGGGTTTCACGATCCATGGCTGGAATTCGAACCAGGGCGGCGAGTTCGGCACAACAGCAACGCTCACAACTACAACGGAAACATCAACCACCACCACCACCACAACCACCACGGAGGCACTCGGCACAACGGAGTCAGCAAGTATGTTAGAGTAGCTAGGAAATCGCTATATCAGTGTCTAATTGATATACCGTCAATAATCTGTACAACGAACCGCAAGGAACCCAAAAAAAGTTGTTCGTTATGGACAGTTTTTGACATAAGGAGTTTTATTTTATTGGGCCCTGAAAATGACTATAGGGACCTTTAATGTTGTTTGCTATAGACAGGGTTCGTTGTACATACCGTAGATGATACTGTAGTATTTCCTAATAGCCGCAGTAACCCCCCACTTTAGAGTCATCCTCATCCGAAGAGGAGCTCAACGAGCCCGGTCGCGAGTGCACCGACAAGAACTGGCGATGCGCGTTCTGGTCAATGTCAGTGTTTGGCTACTGCGATAAGTACGCTGAAGTCCGCGATCAGGTTTGCCCGTTCTCGTGCAAGACGTGTACGCCACATCGCTCGGCTCGAACCCCAGGTGAGTCTTCTAACTTTTTTATCTCTAAATCGTGTCTTCTATGAGTCTGTCGGGAAAATAATGAGCTCTCTGTCGAATCGAAAATCGTATCGCTGCAGAGAAAATGAATCGTGTCGCGGCAAAATCAAATTGCTTTTCACCTCAGCGACGCGGTTGGCACAGTGAGAGAGTGCTCATTATTTTCCCGACGGACAGATACTAGTCCGTTTGTAAAGTCGCTGGAGTTATTTCGGCGACATGCACTGTGCAAAAACGTTCAGAGCGACAGCTCAAAAAAGCCATTTTCCCGGTGCAAAAAGCAAGAAATTGCACAGTACAAGGTTAAGTTTTGTTTTCGCACAGTGCATGCCGCTAAAATCACTCCAACGACTTTGCAAACGAACTGATAACTTGAACTCCGCCTTCAGACTGCGTCGACAAGAGCTCAGCGTGCGCCCGAATCCACGACGCCTCCTGCGAGTCCCCGCTCACACAGCTTCTCTGTCCCCGGATCTGCGGAGCCTGCGCCGACGCCGAGTTTCTTCCAAAACCCCAGGTTCCGGGCGATGATAGGCCCTCCTTCTTCCCACCGCCGATTCTTGCGGAGACGTCGGCGGGCGGCGGAGAACGACCGCTTGGAGGTCCGATCCTCCCCGCTCAAATCAACGCCCAAAACGGGGGAGACGGCGGAGTCGAAAGGGATTCGGAGCAGGCCGGAAATCAACCAGCGAACAGTCAGAATTCAGAGCCCAGAGGAGCGACAACAACAAACCAACAGCCCGTTGTCGCCGTCAACGGGCAAGAACCGCAATCAATCGCCATTCAAATCGATCTTGGCGCGGCCCTCGCGGTCCAACGCCCCCCACAGCCAACACGAACCCAACCTGAATCGCAGAGCGGCGCCGGCGCCGCGGACGTCCGCTGCTTCGACGTCTCCGAGCCGCAGATCTGCGCCCACGTCCGCGAAATGCAGCTGTGCGCCGTCCGGCTGGACTGCGCACGGTCGTGCCAGCTCTGCTAACATCGAGATCCACGAAAAGGCGGTTTTCATTCCGTGAAAGGACGGTTTGTAGCCAAGACTTTAATAATTCCCCCATTTACTGTTACGGCTTTACCTCTCACCCATCAAAAAGTAATTGGCATTTCTCTTTCCCTCATATCAGTGTGTCGGGAAAATAATGAGCATTCCGTCGCAACGCCGATCACGTCACTAAAGTAAAAAGCAACTTGATTTTGTCGCGACGCAATTCATTGCCTCGGCGGCGGTGCAATTTTCGACGCGACAGGGAACTCATTATTTTCCCGACAGACTTCTCTCCCTTTTTATGATTTCCGCTACTTTTTTCAACGGGTACTTTGTTTTGTTTTTTTTCAATGACAGAATTTTTACAAGCTTCAATTTGTAAATAAATTTTTTTTCGTATTAAGCTCCAAACTAGGGTTGTGAATATGACAGAATTTTTTAAAAGGACGTCAAATTACTATCAAATTGAAGTCATTTTGGCTGAATTGAAAATTCTGATATACGTGGAAAATATGTATTATACAAAGCTTTCACACGCGAGTTTAACGTAGACTATGACTTCAACTTTTTAATTTCAATCACATGCAAACAAAATCATGGAGTGAATCATAACGGTTCCCATTGTCCGGTCAGGGTAAGATCGCTCCATCGAAAGCCTGGTTCTTGCCAGCATCGTCGATCCATCTCATGCTGAAGCGCCAAAACGGTCGTGTATAGGGGGATGTTGAATTCATGCTGATCACTTCCGTTTCCAACGATTTCTTGAACTCCTTCAATTTTCCCTCGTTTCGGATTGATCTAACATTGACAGTAAGGACTTGAAATCCATTACGATGAACAGCTACTGTCCCAGGCGAAGCCCTTCGGGCCCGCAACGGCATAGGTGGACAGGAAGAACCGACCGGTCTCCAGAAAAAAAGAGTCGGAATTTTAGACTATGATGACGTTAATATTACGTTAGTTGCAACTCGTTTTGCTGCTTATTTCATCGGTCGTTGTGACAAGACGGAGCAATATGTATATTGCAACGAAAGGACAGAACAATTTGCCATGCCATAACAAAAACTACAGCGATTTGACAACGTAACTGACCGTCAAGTTTACGACTTCAACAACCCTTCTCAAAACTCTTGTTTTGTTTATTATTTTTTAAATTTTTAGTCATCATTTTTGAAACAATAAAACAAATTTTGAAATTCAACTACCGCCATCGCTCAAACCCTTCAACCTCTTTCTTCAACCGTTCCTCATACAGCTCTGCGACTTTGCGCCTCTCCAACTCCACTTCAAATTGTGTTGCTTGGAGTGCCTGATGAGATCTTTGAACCTCCAAAAAACACTTCTCCAGATGCTCGGCCTCGGCGCGCATCCGATTGATGTCCGCGTGCCGTTGTCGTTCGAACATTCGCCGCTCCTCGTCGAGTTGATGACGTTCGTTGACGACGCGCACAAGCAGATCGTGCTCTTTGGAGACGAAGTCAGTCTGTAATGGGGATCAAAATAAGATAAAAAGGAGAAGGAAGAACATACTCGCAGCTTGTCCAATGCCATCTTTCTCTCTTCGATTTGACTTAGAATCTCTTGCTGCTCCTCCTTGAAGGCTTCGCGTTCCGCTTCAAGTTTAACTCGCTCGTTTAGAATCCATTGCCGGCCCTGAAAGTTGAGAGAACGTTGATTACATAGGTTTTTCCGAATATGTCACGACTTAGCTATGAGTCGTGGTGTAAGATGGCCCTTAACTTGCCTGACTACTAGTATTCACTACCTAACCCGGAGACGCAAGCAAGAGGACTCTGGCAATAAAACTGTGAACTCACGATATTGACTCCAGACGATGTGACCATAGACAAATCAATAGACAAATAGTAAATATAGTAGACTTTATTGGCCACAACCGCATAAGCGGGAAAAGACAAAAACACAAATTAATACCTTCATAACTGGCGATTTCTCTTCCTTTTATACCAATTTGTCGGCCATTCCGTGTGAATATGCAAATTCGCACGCGAAGTCGTGACAAATATCCCCGACCCCCTAGTAAAATCTCTGTACAAAAAGCTCAAAAAAGATCTACCTATGGCAAACCACTGAAGAAGTTGCATGAATAAACCTTAGGCTAATCGTAAAGTAAACTCCTTAAAACGGAGCCCTTCTACAGCGAACAAATGTTGGTCTCGCACGATATCTTGTTCACAGATGGATTATTTTCGAAGCCTGCGGCATACCTCCGCAATTTCCTTGTAATAAGTCTCTGTCATTTTCTCGATCTCCCTCTCCAACGTCTCCAGAATCTTCTCCTTTTTCGCTTGAAACTCCGCTTTCTCCGTCCGCAGCAACGCCATTCCATCTTCGATTTGTTTTTCGGCCAGATCGACTACCCGATTCACCGGCTCGTTGTAGTTTCCAAAGGCGTTGATGGTGTCTTTAAGTGAGCTTAAGGTGTAGTCCAAGTTCTCGAGACGCGACTGCACCGACACTAGTTGGCTGAAATTCAATTTTCATATTGCTAATCAGGCTTACTCTTCTTGACGTTTCACGTTTTTTACAACATCAATGTCATCCTCGATGTTCGAGCGGACTTCACGCAGCTGACCTTCGTATTTCTCTTGCATGTCGGAGATCTCGGCCCTGAATTGAATCAAAAGTTAGGGCAGTGACAATGGTATGCGTCTTTTGAAAACTGTGGCATTTTTATGCAAATTCTGGCATAAAAAATTGTCGCGTCTCTTCGGGTCGACGACAGTTCGGGTCAACACAAAATCGATCGATATGAGGGGATAGGGCAAGTGGGCACTAGAAAAAAGCTGTTGGAAGTGCCTACAAGGCCTGACAAACCCGCTGAATGGTCGGCGGATGCTCGGCGAAGGCTCGGCGGAGACTTGGCGAAGACTTGCAATACGTTAAATTTTTCTAATTCTAGATATTGTTCTAACGCAGAAAAAGGTCAAAATTTGTGGCAAAAAACTTTAAAAAAACATTTTGCATAGGAGCCGGGATTCGGAGCCGGAGGCCTTTTTAAATTTTGCACGGAGCCAAGAACCGGAGCTGCAAATTTGGCCTCGGCTCCGGCTCTGGGAGCTAAGAGCCGGAGCCAAAATTTTGACAGTGGCATCGCCTATGACCCGATCAATCTTACTATTTTTAATAACTAAGCCTTCCGCTAGCCTCCCCGTGCATACAACCACAAACCGACCGTTGACTATACTTTTATCTGTCACTCCTGCGTTTCAAATACTCATCATGAGTAATTTAGAAGTTTGATGAATAACCTACTTGAACTCCTTCCTCAAACTGCTCAATTCCTTCTCATGATCTTCCCGTAAGTTCTCGTTCGTCCGCCTCAACTCATTTATCAGTTGTTGATCTTGTTCCCTCTCGTATCTTAGCGTGGACAACTCCTTCTTCAGGCTCTCGATTTCCTCTCGTTGATGATCTTTTTGCGGCGCTCTCTCCTCTTCCACATTTTCGCGACGTCGCGACGCCGTCCGTGGTCGTTCCTCGGGCGGTTTTGTGGCCGTGGAAAAGAGGTCGTCCAGAGTTCGCGAAGAGCTGGGTGCCGTTGAGGAAAGCGCTGCGGGTCGTGATGGTACCGATAAGGAGAGGGGAGAGGACGAGTCAAAGGAAGGTGCGGGACGTCGGACGTCGGAAGTTGCGGGCTTCGAAGGCTCCTGAAAGCTGACGGTGGGCTTGCGGGCCGGCAAATTTGTTGCGCTAGCCGGTCGACGACGCTGGAAAAAAAGGATGAGAATTCGTGGAGAACGCATCGTATATAGTATATAAATATTTATGTATTATAGTTAGAGGGGAAAAATAAACCTACTGCTGCCGTTCTTGGGCCGAAAAGACTGCTGACAATTCCCTCATTTGTTCCCTCTTCCTCCTGCAAAATAAAAATATGTAAAGATACAGTAAAAGCCAATAATCTGTTCAACGAATGCCTTACAACAAACACTGTCTATAACAAACAAAGTGGAAGCTCCGTACATCAAATTGCACCGAACAAAAAAAAATTATTTACTGTTTAATTTGGATATAGATTTTGACATTTAATGAGGCAAGTACGCCAAATTGCAACGCTCAGATTTTTATTAAATTCAGCGCACATTTTGGGCATAGCCTCCATATCAATTCCTAAAAATTTTAGCTCGGGCTTCGCAAGGGAAGCCGAGACATTCAACGATCTGTTTGGCTGAGAGAATACGCGAAATACGGATAGCGATCAGAGAGAAAACCCTTTTTGGCCTTATCTTTGTCAGTTTTGTATGAAAAAAAAATAATTTTTTGTAGAAGTATTAATCTCTGCAGTAGAAACAACCACAAAACTTTTCATGCTAAAATTCGCAAAAAAAATCACATTTTTACCAACTTTCGAACTAAAAACCTCGGTCATTTCTGCAAACCGCGAGCTAGAATTCTCATATGTGTCTCAAAAAAGATTAATCTAAATTTGTGCCAAGTTTAATCAAAATCTGAGCGTCGTTCTTGGAGCCCTTACCCCGTAACGCCAATTTTTACGACACGGATTTATTGCAACTTACATCCGGAAAGTCCAGGTCGGCCATTCAGAACGAAAAGTGGAGCAAATCTTGAGGAGGGGAGAAAGGAGTTTCCGCGCAAAAGGCGGCCGACGAGAATGGCCAACGGCCGGTTTTTCTTTTACCCTGGCAACCGCGTAATTTTAAATCCGCTGGCACTGCGGAAAACATGCCAGGAATGTTCGCGGATTAGCGGGGGGTAATCCTCAAACAACAAGGCTGTAAAAATAAACATCGGATCGAGATTTTTTATTGAAATTTTGGATAAATTTCATGTTTATTTTTGTTTATCATTTAAATTTAATTTACATAAAAATCTCAAAGAATGGTTGAAAATCAGTCGCAAAAGATGAAAAAATTTAATATGGTCTTACGAAAAAACCTCAAATTTCAGTCTGTCGGGAAAATAATGACCACTTTTTCGAATCAAAAATGGCATCGCCGCTGAGGAAATGAATCGTCTTCGAGGCAAAATCGAATTGCTTTTCACTTCAGCGACACCATCGGCGCAGCGACATTGTGCTCATTATTTTCCCGACAGACTGATATTATGTTTTTTCATAAAGTGCGGAAACTTTTTCCGCCTTTTATCGCCAACGCACCCGACGCGATCCGCGCAGCGACATTGTGCTCATTATTTTCCCGACAGACTGATAGTAAAAAAGGTTCATTGTGACCTAAAATTGAAAACTTTGACCTCTGAAATTGTTTGTTATCAAGAAGTTTTGCTGTATGGGAGTCCATTTTACGGAGATTCTAATTTAGTTGATGGACTTGTAGTTTGCTTGTTTATTTGTTTTCACATTTTTTCTCGGAGATTTCATACGTCAATTCGGCCAAAAATCCGGCTTATATCCGTCTGTCGGGAAAATAACGTGGATTTGTCGCGTCTTGGAATCGCCCATCATGGGTTTGCAACGGCTGAAAATTCGTTGCGAGACGAAAAATTTTGCTGCGACAGATCCACATTATTTTCCCGACAGACTGATATTCTGAAAATTCAATATAAAAACCGTAAAATATACAGCTTTTATATTGTATATTATCAATGCATTTACATCAAGATTTGCACCCGAGAACCTTCTTCAAAGTGCAAATCCAACCGAACAACAAACACGATGCCACGTTGGGTTCAACGTTCGTCCCATGTCGCGTCAAAAAGCGCTCAAAGCGCCAAAATTCCAGCCGTTTTTGTGACCTCATTCCCAAAAGATCAGTCCTCAGCCCGACCCCCAACAGTCCCATCATCGTTTCCCTCTCGAGGAGTTTGCGTTCGTTCTTTTCTCCCATCGCAATGTGCGCTCATCGCCTCGCCTTCCCGCTGCCCCGCAAAAGCGAAAAAGCGCCGCGAGAGAAGAGAAGAGGGGCCCGAAAAAAGAGAGCGACGACAAGGTCAGAGAGCGGCGGCAAAAAGCTCGCCGCCGCCGCGAAGAAGGGAGGTCGCGTCGCGTGGAGAGCGGGCAGAGGGGGAACGGTGGCGGAACGATCGCGGGGCGACACGTCAGCCGCGGTCACTCCGGCTGTCGTCGTCGCGCGCGCGTTCCGTCAACCGAGGATTTGGTTGTTGGAGGGGCGATGGGTGGGCTGAGCGGGGGAGTTGTTTATCGATAGCGGTTTTGGTGTTGAGACGGGGGTTGTGAAGTCTTAAATTTGGGATATTTTGGGTTAAATCGCTGAAATTTTGGAGATTTTGGCTTAAATCGCTGAAATTTTGGAGATTTTGGCTTAAATCGCTGAAATTTTGGAGATTTTGGCTTAAATCGCTGAAATTTGGGATATTTTGGGTTAAATCGCTGAAATTTTGGAGATTTTGGCTTAAATCGCTGAAATTTGGGATATTTTGGGTTAAATCGCTGAAATTTTGGAGATTTTGGCTTAAATCGCTGAAATTTGGGATATTTTGGGTTAAATCGCTGAAATTTTGGAGATTTTGGCTTAAATCGCTGAAATTTGGGATATTTTGGGTTAAATCGCTGAAATTTTGGAGATTTTGGCTTAAATCGCTGAAATTTTGGAGATTTTGGCTTAAATCTCTTAAATTTGAGAGATTTTTTGGCTTAAATCGCTGAAATTTTGGAGATTTTGGCTTAAATCGCTTAAATTTGAGAGATTTTGGCTTAAATCGCTGAAATTTTGGAGATTTTGGCTTAAATCTTTTAAATTTGAGATATTTTTTGAAAAATTACATAGTAATTTTTACTTTTTAAAGTCTTCCCAAACACCTTTTTTCAAATTTCCAACCCCCTACCTCCCCCAAAAAACCCCCTTTTTTGCGCATTCCCCTTCGCCTCAAATCATCGCCAATCTGCAAATTGCATCGCCCTTCAGCGACTCGCCGCCGCTCTCGACGTCTCTGCTTGTCGGATCGCGTGAATATTTGTCGTCGTCGCAACTCAAAAGCCCCGCCAAGACGCGCGCCGAATGCGGAGAGCGGGCAGAGAAAGTGACCGCCGCACAGAAACGAGTGTTCGTGGGGTGGGGCGAGAGAGCGGCGCGAGAGCGAGCGGGGCGAACGCACTGCGAATCGGAGGGTTTCTTATTTTTGTCGGGGGCCTAAAACCCCCGGTCAGGGTTGATGGTCAGGCCGCCGAAGAGTTGTAATACAAAGCGTTGAGCTGCTGCGGCTCTTGCCTGGCTTCATTTTGGAAGTTTTGAAGGCTGGAAAAGCCGGGAAAAGGCGTTGAATCCGAATTTTAATTGGATTTGAGTTATTTTAGGGGAGAGAAATCAGTTTATTTCGTTAGAAATGGACTCAAAAATCCGAAAAAAGGTTGGGAAAGTTTGTTTATAGGGCGAAAGACTTAAAATTTCAAAACGACTTTGACCGTCAACTCTTTTTGAGTTGTTTTAGGACAATCAGCGAGCTTTTTGTAAAGAAATTTCACAGTGAAACCTCAGTAAAATGAAGATACGACAGAAGCTCTCTATAACAAAAAATTTGAAATTTCTAAACACTCGATTTAGAGGCAAAATGAGCTTGCATACAAGGACATCTTCTATAAAAAAAAATTTTTTTGCTTCTTCGTTATACAGAGGCTTTACTGTAGGTATTATACCCGAATTTAGTCATCACTAAAAATTGATGACTTTGTAATTACCCCTGTTTATCAAATCCCCTCTTCAGAACATCCCACAGCGTTCTTTTGTGGATCAAAGAGCATTCCGCAGCTTCCAGCGTCCCCATGACTCATCAAATTCGATAGTTACATAGTGTGTTTTGTGCGTCATCTTCGCCTTATTTACATAAAACAATAGTTGAAAAATTGTGAACAACCAGTTGTAATAGCTCTAAAATTTGTTTTTTCAACTTTTCTACATTGCTTTAATATTGATTTTTTTCAGAATCGACTGCTCCGCACAAAGTCCAACGAACGTAAGATTCTGCGATTATTTTTTTCGATTTTAGATCCGATCTTCATAACGAATTAAGCTGCGATTTTCCAGAGAGTCTGAACTCAAAATTCAGCTGGGATTTTGCGACAATTTTTTTGAATTTTTTCCAAAAGTATCCATGAGACATTTTGAGGCATTTCGAAGCGATCCGTATATTCAATGCTCTGTTTTTGGTATACGTGGCTTTTCCGGCGGAATTCTTTCGTAATATCGGTGTATTCACCAGAAATTTTTGGAATCCTGTCATCACGACGATTTTTTGTCATAATTTTTTGATTTTTTTTTCATCAAAATTTTGGATAAAAATTCGGTTAGAAAGTTGAAAATTGCTTTGTTTTTGAAGCTTTTTGCCCTGTAGAATCAAATTTTAGGCAATAAATTTCCCGGGGAAGCTTTGAGATCGCTTTTTTCGAGAGATTTTGTCAAATCCGACCTTGTTGTAGGTTTTCGATTGAATTTTATTGTCTGTAACTAATTTTTATGCCAATTTTATGGTCCAAATTCAATTTCTAATATAATTTTAGACCTTTTCCTTCAATTTCCAACTTGATTTTCGTCCTCAAAAAAAAATTTTTTTTTTCGAAATTTAATGTCCAAGTCCATCAAGTATAATATAAAAATTTTTTGTAAAAATCGCAAAAGCTAATCACTACAAGTCTCCCCACTCCAGCCCTCCTTGCACCGCTTCGCTCTAACGGGCGTCTGCCCCCCAAAAAAAAAACCCGCTGTCGGGAGCGCTCTCCTCGTTCGGCGCGCTCTCTCCGCTCGGGTCGTCTCTTCTTTTTTCTCGAAAATTGTGCGTTTCCCCTAAGCGGGGCTTTTTCGTCAGCCGGACCCGGCGTGGAAATCGTCGTTTGCGGCGGGGATTCGACGGTTTTGCGGGTGTCCTGATCTGGAGAAGTTGCCTATGGGACCTCTGAATTATCCTTCATCAAAAAATCCACAAAATTTTCGAATTTTTGGCCAATTTTAGCCATTTTTCGGTAGGATAAGATATTGATAAAGAATTTTAGCCCCAAAAATTCTCTTTTATTTTGGCGAATTTGGCCTTTTATCAGGGAATTTAGTGATTTTTAGGGATAAAAAACATTCTTTCATAGGGAAAACTAATTTTTTATACCTAAAATTTGCGAAAATCCCAAAAATTTTGATTTTTTCGAAATTTTTTTGCAAAAAAATAATTTTAGGTAACAAAACCCAACTTTATGGTTGATAATCAGTATTTCAAAGGTATATTTGAGGGAATTTTAATCATTTTCTGTCAGTTTCGACATGTTGTTCATGTCAAAAGCAAAGTTTTCGATTTGAATTTTGACCCACTTCCCATCCCATGACCATTTTTTCGGGCGATGAAACGTTTGTTTTGCTTCTTCAGTCGATAAGATCAAAGTTTTCGGGGGATTTTTGGACTCCATTTTACCTTATTTTAGGTTGGATTTTGAAATTTTTTGAATTTTTTTTTAAAAATTGAATATTTTCGCGGAATTTTGATGTCGAAACCATTGAATGAGCCCATTTTCAGGTCAAACCGACAAAATTACACGTCGCAAAGCGAGCCGTCAAGCGTTGGTGGAGAGCCGCACGATCTTCGACAAGAGTCCCGAGAAAGACGACAAAACGGCGTCGCTCAAGAACCATCAGGCGTCGGCGGCGTCGTCGGCCGAGCCCGCCAAGCGCGAGGAGGAGGAGCCGTCGAACAGCAGCAACGAGGTGCAGGGTTCGAGCTGCGTGAACGGGGATGTGGCGCATGAGAATGGAGAGGAAGCGGGCTCCTCCTCGCAACCGAAATCGTCGCTGAAAGCGCGCGCGCGACGTCGCAGCGGCACGCAGAGCTCGAGTTGCACGAGTCAGGACTCGAATGCGAGCGTGTACGGGGACGACGACGAGGAGGAGGAGGATGAGGAAGAGCCCGAGTCCTCCTGCAGCCATGATCGCGCGGATGGCGGCGGAGGCGGCGCGAACCTCGGCTTCCGCTCCACCACGCAGTACGAGGCGGACCTGAATCAGGCCGGCCTTCAGCTGGCGTTCGACTTTTGGCGCGGCTCCGACGACCCCATGCTCAAGAAGCTCAGCGAACGCGAGGTCCAAGAGCTCTTCGCCAAGGCGCCCGACCAGCTCCAACGCCTCCACCAACAACTCTACGCCAACCTCGACCCCACCGCAGCGAGTGAACCGAATTGCGAGCAGAAACGACCGCCCAAGAGCAATGGAAATCTCGACGAGAACGGCCCCACCTACAACGACCAACTCTCCCAAACAACCACCCCCGACGGCCAAATGTTCACGCCACAGTTCATCAACAACGTCGCTTCAACTCTGGGTCCCACTCTCGCGGCGGCATTGAGTAATCTCCCAGCGAATCAAAAGGTAAAATTTTTTGTTTTTTGAGCTTTCGATTTTAGGTAACAATCTCAAGTGTAACTTTTTTCTCGAAAAATAGATGCTCTTGAAGTCATGTGGAAGAAAGAGCAGCTAAAACAGTCTTGAATCAAAAGAAATTTCCTGGTTCTGCCCGGAAATTATCTTCTTTTCGTCTCGATCGAACATGTTCGATCGTATAAAATATCTGCTGTCTTCTCTTTGGCCAAACTTGGTCACAATCGCGCCTCTCGCGCTGATTATGCCTTTTCCGTTTCAGAACGGCGTGACGGTGCCGATAAACCCATTCACCGGACAACCCATCACCAACCAAGAAGTCCTCAACACCCTGGCGGCCAACCCATCCATGGCGCCCTTCTTCAACTACTCGAACCTGGCCGGCGGCCCGCCCATCCAACAAATCGACCCCACCACCGTCGCCATCACGAACAAGTTCGTGCAGATGGCGCGGGATGCGCACGAGGCGTCCGCCTCCACCTCATCGTTCGTGCACGGCGACCAGCGGACGGTGGCGTTGCAGACCCTCCCCGACAGCGACTATCCCCCATTCTACGCGTTTCACGTGGCCCAACAGCACAACTCGCAGATGATGTTCGTGGATCAGAGCTCACAAGTGGCGTACTTCAATTTTGCCGACCTTCCGTCGAATAGTGAGTGGTTTTTCTGATTGTTTTCTTGAGTTTAGGTCGATTTTTGATGTTGAACTTGAAAAGGTCATGGGAAATTGCTGAAAATAAGCCTTTTTGCCTGAATTTGACTAAATCTGTTGGAGGCAAAAAGGATTTAGGGGTGACATTCATTTCCAAGAAGATTGAGCGCGGATGTTCTTTTTTTCAAGAGCTGATAGATTAGGTCAAGTATAATATCAGGAACCGGTTCAAAAGTTGATTTTTTGTTCAGAGACTGGTTACATTAGCAAATGCTTTGTTTTTAGCTAAATTCGAGCTAATTTCTCCATGTTATCTATGATTTCTAACTAGGCCTAGTACAACATCGAAAATTCGAAATTTCATGGAATTTTTGTAATTAATTGTCTTGTAAAAGACGGTTTATGACCTTTCAATCCTGTTTGAATTTTAGAAGCAACCATACAAGTGGAAGACAGCAAACCAGAAGGGACATTACGCCTAGTGATACAGAATTTCTCAAAGATGACAGATACGGTGCGCGGACCATCGAAGATTGTTCAAAATGTTCCCTGGCGCATCATGATCATGCCCAGACAGCACATTGTACAGAAGAAAGGCACTCAAAAGTGTCTAGGATTTTTCCTTCAATGCTGTCCGGATGCGTATTCAGAGTAAGTTTATTATTTTTTTGTTTGTTTTCTGGATTTAGATTGGCTGAGATATTGTGGATGGAGAGTTTGAAGGTCTTGTGGATGAAGAACAGCTGATAAAAATGCTTATTTTCAGCTCATGGTCATGCTCAGCGGCGGCGGAGTTGCGACTTATCTCTCAGAAGCAAGGAGTTCCAAATTTTTCCCGAAAAACCAACCACAATTACACGTCGAAGGAAAACGATTGGGGCTACTCATGTTTCATGACCTGGGCCGACATCCTCGACGATCAGCAGGGCTATATTCACAATGACACCGTGATTCTCGAGGTGCACGTGAAGGCCGAGTCCGCCAAGAACGTGATGAACTTGGACGAGTTCCGGAAGAAAATCACCGGCTACATACGGCTGGCTGCGCTGCAGTGCGAACGCGGGTTAATCGACAAGGCCATCGAATGCAATACGATGGCCATGAAGATGTGCAAAGACAAAGATCCCGACTGCCAGAGGAAATTGCAGGCTCAGAATGCGGAGTTGGTGGCGAGAAAGCTGAAACAAAGCATTGCGAGAATAGAAAGAGGTAAAGAGAAGGCGTCAGAGGTTTTGCAATGAAAAAAATTTGGTCTAGAAAATTATTGCGCTTCATTTTTGGGCAGTTCGAATTTATATCTTGCAATCTACTTATCCACTCGTCTAATGACCAACCAAAAAGTCAGATAGGCCCAAAAATCTCAGAAAGGACTTGCCAAAGAGCTGGATTGGTAGCGAAATCATATAAATCAATGGTAAAACAGCTGGATTGACCTAAAAATCTCATAAATGGCAAGCCAAATGTATGAAATGGTAGCCAAGTAATTTGATTGAGATTCTTAGGCCAATCCAGCTGTTTTACCATCGATTTATATGATTTGGCTACCAATCCAGCTCTTTGGCAAGTCCTTTCTGAGATTTTTGGACCTAACTGACTTTTTGGGTGGTCATTAGACGAGTGGATAAGTAGATTGCGAGAGATAAATTCGAACTGCCCAAAATGAAATGCCACGGTTATATCGTTTTTGCGGTCCAGAGATATTTGGGCCAAAAATTTACGCAATTTTTTCAGGAAGTGATACCGTCGCCGAAACCGATCCCACCGCCAACATTACGGCACTGCGAATCGCCATGTCCGGCAGTGGCTCCCAACGGAATTCGGCGATACAGAAACCGAGACGCAAAGACCAAAAGGACTTTGACAAGAAGCGCTCCAAAGACGACGCGCAAAACGACCTGGCGTCCAATGGAAGCGTGGACGACAACAAGTCCAAGGACGACACCAAAGACTCGAACGACCTGGATGACGAAGACGAATGCTTCTGCGACAACCCCGATCATTCCCCGAAGTGTGTGTGCAATGTGGAAAAGTTGGACAGAACCGCGGAATATCAGCTGGAAAGCCTGGTCCATAGACATGAGGTGGGTGTTTTAACTTTTTTTTGTTGAATTTTAGGCTGGAGAAGGAAGAAAATCGGGGTTTTTTTCTAAAACATGTTGTTTTAGGCCGATGGTGAGGAATGCAACGTTCTCAATGAATTTGATGGAAAAGGAACGTTCGAATCCTTCGAGGAGCTTGTGGTAAGCCAATTTCGAATCAATTTTGTACATTTTTTCGCATTTTTCCTATGTTTTCCCTCACCCCCCGCATCGCTAACCCCCCTCCTTTGCACCTCTCATTGGCCTGATTTCGATTGTCTGGAGATATTTTTGGTTTCGAATTTGGGATTGTGTAGGAGAAAGGTTACTGGTTTTGTGCGGGACAAGAGCTTCCCAAGGCGTGTTGGTTTGGATTTCCTGCCTCTTCATAACTTTTTGCCGTTTTATTCACCCATTTTACGGAGTTTTGAATAATTTTTGGGAGTTTCGGAAAGAATACGCGGGTTTTTTGGCTCTGTTTGGAGGTTCGAAATTGTGTGCCGATCACGCTAGCCACCACCCGGAAATAACCACCGTCATGATCCGAAAATATCTCACTGAAATCGAAAATTTCAGGCCAATGAGTCGGCGGCGTCCCGACGCCTGGTCGACGCCCTGTTCGCGACCCCCGAAGACAAGGCGGCCCTGCTGGCCGCCGTGAATCGCGCCCGCTCGGGCGTGAGCACCGCCCTGGAAGAGGCGGACAAGTTCCGGCTGCCGATGCGCTTCGAGCTGCTGGCCCGCAGCCTGATCTGCGACGGGGGCTTCACTTTTGCGGACATTGTGCAAAAGGAATCGGACGCGCTGTTGACGATTATCGCACAGCAAGCCGCACTCGCCGCACAGAACGACGAGCGCTGGCGCAGCGCCATCGAAGATATGTGCGCTCTGGCGGAAGTAGGGGATTAGAAATGAATTTTTTACTTATTTGGTTTTTAAATATTTACTTTTTTTGGTTTTAAAATACAGTATCCGGCAGGATCATGTGGCAAAAACACATCCGAATGCATCTATGACGCTGTAAAATGCATCCATTTGCATCCTTTTTTCTGATCGAAAATAGCTTTTTTTTCATTTGAAGTGACGGGGTTTGGGCCTTTTTGAGAGAGAAATGGAAGCATTTTTTGGCATCCATTTCTCCCTTAAAAAGACCAAACTTTCGTCTCTTCAAAGGAAAAGCTATTTTCGATCAGAAAAATGATGCAAATGGATGCATTTTGCCCCGTCATAGATGCATTTGAATGTGTTTTTGTCACATGATCCTGCCCGAAATGATACCCCCCTTTTCAATCTACTACAATGTAAATTCCAGGAGGACCACATGCAAACCCTCCCATCCGAGCCGCTCTTCGAGCTGACCAAGTCCGAAATGGCCAAACTGCAGAAGAAAATCTGTGGCGGCGGAGATTTCAACGCCACCCCGAAGGCACCCCATCAAAATGTGGAATGCCAGACCGACTTCCCATCGCTCAGCCGCATGAAACAGGACCAGGCACCCAATCAGATCCCACTTTTCATACCCAGAACTCAACTCGCCAGTCTGCCGACCAACGCCTTCCAGGCGTCCCTGGTCCACTCCATCAACCCCATCGATCCATATCAACTCCAGCTCAACGCCATGTCCAACCCGTCGCCCACGCAGGTCTCGCCCCGCCGGACGTTGACGCCCAGAACCAAGAAAACCCACAAGCGCCAGAACAGCGCCGACAACAGTAGCCTCAGTTTGTCGGCCGACAAAAATCGACCACTCACACCGGAGAAGAAGGAGAACCGCAAGCGCAAGGAGCGCCCATCCAGCGTCCAAAACGACATGAAGGAGAACATTGAGACCCCCAACTACGCCAACCTCACCCCACTGGAGGCGGTGGAAATGCTGAATCAGCCCATCGCCAGCATCCTCAACCAGCCGGGCCCCGTCGACAATGTGGAGGTGATCCAGAGCCTCGTCAAGCAAGCCTACGGCGCCCCTGAAGGCACATTTGATACCTCCACCAACGAAGGCCTCTCACGATACGCCGCGCAGACTATGGAAGCCCTAGCGAAGACCGGAAACATGTTCGCGGCGTGTGTTTTATATCAACAGGAGAGTGTGAAGATGGCCGGGGAAATGAAGAATTTCACGGATTTTGGAAAAGCCCTCGAAGTTTTGACCAAGTTTTGTGTGGAAAACAAACTGGCACATATCCAGCAACCATGTAAGTGTTATTTTTGGAAATTTAAAAATATTTTTTTGAGGAGTTTTTTGAAATTTTGAAAAAAAAAATTTTTTTTGGAAAAATTTTTTATTTTTTTATATTTTTTTTTGTTTTTAGTCAACCTGGCCGACGCTCCACCAGCCCCAACTCAGGAAATCACCTCCATCTATCAGCTAGCCCAAGACCCGGAAGGCGAACGGAAGTTCCGCGCCAGCGTCGACGCCCGCTTGTTATCCATGTTCTACCCGTTCAAGAATGGCCCCAGCTCGCTGCAGATGGTCCGAGATGTTGTGAATTTCTCGCAAAAGCTTCAAAACAGAATCAACGAACTTCAGAAGGACCTGGAGGCGGTGAAGAATGAGAAAAAGGCTCTAAATAAGGAAAAGAACAACCTTCAAAAGGCCGAAAAGACGATGCAAGAGAGAACCGAAAGCCTGAAACAGGACAATAATAACTTGAAACAACAAGTGAAGAATCTGGAGAAGAAGGTTTCAAATCTGTAAGTTGATTTTTGATTTTGTTTTTGTTTTCGAAATTTAGGCGAGAATTTGATGGACTGTCGGAAGGCTGATTTTCTTTTTTTTCAGCCAGTCCGACCGCGATGACGAACTCCAAAAGGTCCGCCAACAACTGGATCACGCCCGTCAAGAGATCCAAGACAAGGAAACGCAGCATTCGCGAGACATTCAGAGCCTGAATGACGTCAAGAGGAACTATTCCAAGGAGCTCACCGAACGCCAAGCTCAAATCCAACGTCTCAAGGATCAGCTGGAAGAGAAGTCGAACCTCCTGAAGAAGGCCGAGACCGACAAAAAGGCCCAACGCGACGCCCACTCCAAGCTACAGGAACGCGCGCGTCAGGCCGAGATTCAGAACATTGAACTGAAGACGGAGCATGCGCTGAGCAAGCTGGAAAGAGCCCGTGCCGACTCGGAGGCACGCGCCAAGGAATGCGAGGTCCGCCTGGGCCACAACGACCTGAACGAGGAGGAACGCTCGGCCATCACCAAGGACATGGAGACCTGGAAGAAGACCAAGGCCGAATGTATGAAACTCATCGACGAATTGAACAAAGAAACTGCCAAACACATTGAAATGGTCAAGGAGGGAAAACAGCCCAGTCAACTGCCCAAAATGAACATCCCCAAGCCCCCGCCCTACCCGGTCACCTCGCCCCTACCACCGATTCGACTGGTCCGCGAACCCGTCCATCCAACCCCAATGACCTCGGCTCCAATCCCGAACAAGTTCAGCCAACCGGCGCCGAACAGCCAGCAGATCTCCCCACCGGTCCAACTCCCCCATCACAATGTCCCCCATGTCCAACCGTCCGCATTCCGCAGCATGGCCGCCATGAGTGGCCCTCATCCACCTCCATTCGGACCGAATGGCCCTGTCCCCGCTCCTGTTGGCGCCCCACCCTTTGGAAACGGCTCAATTCACAATCAACACATGGCTCCATACATGAACCAACAACGCGCCCCCAATATGATGTTCCAACCCAACAGCATGCAAGCACCCATCGGCTCGAGGCATCAGCAGATCCAAGAACCTCTGATCAATAAGTTTGAGCAGTTTGAACATTTCCCGGACACGAATCGAACTCCTTTCAACCCAACTAGATCTTGCACTCCAGCTGAATTGGAACAGTTTGAAAAGATGAGAAATGTGAGATCGCTATGGGAAAAGGACCTGCCCAGCTCGTCAGCCAGTGTTGGAGGCCCTATCAGCACGGGTAAGATATTTTTGAATAGTTTTTTTTTTGAAATTTAGATCCGAAGTTTATCACGGACAGCAATGAAAAATCTATTTCCAGCCCCTGTGAACGACCCCGTCGCCTCGGTGGCCCAGTCCGTCGCCCAATCTGCCAAATTCTTCCCACCATCCAACTTTGACTTCCCGAAGCCGGCCGCAACGAACACCACGGAGCCCGGCGTCGCCGACATCCTCCGCAACACCTGGGGAGACTCGATTTGGTCCTTCAACAACCACAACTAAACGTCGCCGACTTTTTTTCCTCTCTCCATCTTTTGAGATGCTCGATTTGTTTCTTTCGAAGGTTTGAAATGTTTTCCCAATGTCTATTATGTTTGTTATTAATGTAAACACGATTTTAATTAGATTAAAAGGTAATTAGTCATTTCATCCGATGAATTGGTCTTTTTCCCAAATATCTGTCATGGTCAATATCGATTTTTGTCTGAAATACGAGTTTTTTGAGGAGAATTGGGACTTTGAAGGGATGGAGAGCAAGTGTAATGTCTTGTTAGAGATTATCTTGCTTTTTCCAAGCCTTTAAGATTCTTTTTTATCCCTAAAAATTACTCGTATAAGCCTGCGAAGGCGTCCGCCGAATCCAGTCAAACCGCCGATTTCAAGAACCTCCCAATCGCATTGTATTGTACGTCGTACTCTACTGTCTGCCTGCTTCACATCCCCCAAGCTTCCATAACTTATTGCAAGCTTCCTTTTTCTTTGCACCGCCGCGCAAATGGACCATAATTTTGAGGATTTTCGAGTCCGAACACCTCAAAATCTCTGTCCCCCAAATTTTCCACCCGGATTTTTGGGGCGTTTAGTCGCCGAAACGCCCCCCGAACAAAAGCCCGTCGCCAAATTCTAACCGTCTGTTGAGAGTCTGAATATTCAAATTCTGTTGTCCAGAAAGTCCTGTCGTTCGCCCGAGTTTTTATCGAGATTTCTCGTCTCAACCCCCGCACCCGCCTTGATTCAAAAACAATGTTTGATTTCTTCCAAAAAGTTTTTAAACCCCTTTATTGAAATATTATTTACAATATAAATTTGTTAATTTCTTTGGACGTGGTTTGAGTTGCGCTTGATTTTTTTCATTTTTCACTGAACTTTCGAGATTTTTTTCATTTTTCACTGAACTTTAGGAACTATTGTTACTTTTGAAAGCAGGAGAAACAATGCTTCCCACGCCAAGATAAACACTCAACACAACGACGTTGTTGGGCCTGAAATCAAAGTTTAGAGGCGCATTGATCATTGAATGGGCTGAATTGAAGGGGAAATCAAAGGATCCTCAAGAATGGAGGTGTCTGTTTTTGGTGTTTATTGTTTTTAATGTCGGCGAAATTTCGAGAGAAGGTAGCCAAAAGGTTCCAGCAAAATTCTAGCGAAAAGTTGCGTACGTAGGAGCTGTAAAAGTCTGGCAATTTTGCACATTTATTGTGCCTGGACGTAATATCAATTCATAGGTATATTGGCTCGCGCTTTGGACCTCGGCGATTGGAGGAAAGGACATTCGAGAAAGGGGACGATTGGGACGTAAAGAGACTTCTTTTGTCGCCCTGTTTGCTAGCTAAATGCCAAATTCCGTTGTCCAGGGGCCAATGCGCTATCTGAAAGGTTGCTGAAAATCATAGGGCGCAGCTCGGAGAACTTGCACGGGCGCAGCTCGCGTCTTGGGCGCAGCTCGAAAAAAAGCTGAAACTTAGCTCCGGCGAGCTGCTGAACGTTGTTTTCCGAGCTGCGCCCTACAATTTTCAGCTAACTTTCAGCAAACTTTCAGTTAGCGCATTGGCCCCAGCCCCTCAAAACCTTGGATCTTCCCATTTACGGGTAGTCATACTCTCAGTTTTCCCAGCTAGCTCTTGAACAAATATTTAGTGTGGGGTTGAGTAGCTGGCTGAGCAAACTAAGAGTATGGCTAACCGATAATGGAAAGATACAAGATCTTGAGGGTTTGGACAAGCGAATTTGGCATTTAGTTAGCCAGCAGGGCGGTAAAAGAAGTTTCTTTATGTTTCTTGTCCTCGAATGTCCTTTCCTCCAATTGCTGGGGTCTAAAGCGCTAGCCAATATGCCTAGGAATTGATATTAGGTCTATGCACAATGAACGTGCAAAATTGACCGACTTTTGCCGTTCCTACGGATGCAACTTTTCGCTGAAATTTTGGTGGAGCATTTTGGATACCTTCTCTCGAAATTTCGCTGACATTAAAAGCAATAAACGCCAAAAATTGTCGCCTCCATTCTCGAGCATGCTAACTTGTGATTTCCCCCTCGATTCTTCCCATTGAATGCAGGACTGTCGCCTTTTTCTAGTCCAAGACAATGCAAACTTACGTTTGTTTGGATCCAATCACAAAACCAATGACATTCGTCGACCCAATCTTTGCAAATTGTTCGGAAACACTTGTTCGCAATCACATCTTGCGGCACAGACGGTGACGGACGCTAAAATCATTGATTCTTTTGTCGTAAAACCCCTCAACGCCTACCTTGACCGATGGCTCCCATTGAATGACCATCCCGCTTGATGGAGGGCTTGTTGTCGTAGTCATTTTGATACTAACCGGCCGTAGAGTCGTACTCTTTGCCGTAACAGGAGCTAAACTTGGCTGCACAAACTTGGGTCGACTGTCAATCGAGCCCGCCGCTGCAACCGGCACCACATTGTTCGTCAGCGTCCATGGTGCGCAGGGAATTGCGGTGGTTGTGGGGACGGGAGCAAAAGTAAGAGGAGGCAGAAAAAACCCTCCAAAATCATAGCCTTGCGAGCGGATTTTCGGCAGAAATAAAAGTAGTCCCAGAAACGCGCTACACACTTGGAATGACATCACAAATCGAAATGTCGAGAGTCTTCCGCTCGGCGTTAGTCTTCAAATCCGTCTAATCAGCGGGTGATCGAAATGGGGTTTCATTTTTGCATACGAAATCACTGCAAACAACAACGGCGACCTTGGAAATTCGCGGAGAGAGCGCCCGTTTCCAATATTTTCATCCACTTCGTTATCCCAACACGCATTTCGCAGGTCGTAAGCCGGCCCGTGAACTGGGTCTAATCCGGCGAAAGCGGTTGAGTAACCGGCCCAGGTTACGGCTTGGAACGAAGTGTATGGCATTGAAACGAATACAAGACTCTGTAGAAAAAATTGCAATGAAATAAAAAATGTAATCGTTGTAAAAGGGGTTCGTTGTATGGGGATTCATTTTCGAGCTTCAGATTAACTCCCAAGACCACTGAAATTTTGCTATTAGTCTGTCGGGAAAGTAATGAGCACTCTGTCGCATCGAAAATTGCATCGTCGCCGAGAAAAAAAAATGAGAAAGGAGTTGTGGAAAAATCAGATCGCATCCGGAGTTGAGTCCGTGACAGTTTAGGTCAACACAAAATCAATCCAGACGAGATGCGAGACAGGCAGAGAGAGACTAAAAAATGGTTGTAGGAGGTGCGTTACGAGGACTGGCAAGGCCGTTGGACTCTCCGCTGAGACTTGGCGAAGACTTTGCAAAAACCTCCGGTTTGCACCGTGCATTTGAAATTTTTTCTTTTTGTCAGGGCGCTCTGTGCACTTTGTTTTTTTCGCACTGTGCAAACTCTTTTCAAGTGTTTTTGCACTGTGCACTTGGCTCGTTGCTCGAAATCGCTTCAGGAACGTCGCAGCGACACTGTGCAAAATTTGCTTTTGTCGCGCGATGTTTCGGAGTCTGTCGGGAAAATAATGAACATAATGTGGCTGCGCCGATTCGTGTCGCTGAAGTGAAAAGCAATTTGATTTTGGCGCGACAAAATTCATTTTCTCGGCGATGCGATTTTGGATGCGGCATTTCGCTCATTATTTTCCCGACAGACTGATCAAATTGAAGAAATCCAAACTTTTACCAAAAACTCAAAAAATCTTAGACTCTGAGACCTACCGGCAAGTTTTACAGTGCTGTTTTACCTCTCAATCGCCCCTAATTGCCTGTTTCCTTTTCGTTTTCTTTTTTCTACCGTAATTGAGATTGTGAATTGCGAGGAACCGAGTTAAATTGATTTTCCATCGGCTCTTGCGCTCGTCAGCTGAAGAAATTGGGAAGTGGAAAACACGTTTCGCGCGTTCCTCCTCCAGGAACGACGTTATGGATTTTTTCGGGTGATCTTTGCGAAATTTGACTTTTCAACTTCGCCCAAATTCAACGCCTCCGGCTCCCTATGCTCAGCTAAACTTGCAATTTTTTGTGGGGCAATATGAGCGGGGACCGTCCGTTTGTTTGCATAGACCTACTTTCGAATGGTGCGTGATTTCAAATCCAATAAATTTTAGAGTCCAACTTTTAAATTGGTCAACAGAGAGGCTGGTATTGCTGCGTCTCGAAATTCGCTTTTACTCAGCGTTTTGTAGTGGCTAAATGAGCAAGAAGAAGCTGTCCAATGCCGAGCTGATCAATGAGGGTAAGGGTAAGCATGGGTGCAAACCGGGCCAGCCCGGGCCGCAGGCCCGGGCTGGCCCGGTTTTGAAATTTTTTTTTTTTTTTTAAAGAAATTTTTATACTAGGTTGGAAAGAAAGAAAGCGCGAAATGAAAGGAAAATTATGGCAAATTTTCGCAAAATGTAAAAAAATTGGCAAAACCTAGGTACATAAGGTCACTTACGTTCGCTATCACAGTGTGTTCGAAAAAATGAAAAATTCTATCGAAAAAGCGTATTTTTTCCTTTTTTCCAGGCAAAGTTCAGATTTCAAAAAAACCGGGCCGGGCCGGGCCTTAAAATCGAAGCCCGGAGTTGGGCCGAGAAATTAGTCGGCCCGGGCCGGAAAGTTTTGCAAAGCCCGGCCCGGAGCCATGCCTAGGTAAGGGAGGGAAAATTACCAGGGAGTTGCGTTACTAGTCTGTTCGCAAAGTGGGGCGATTTCTGCGACATGCGCTGTGGGAAAACAAGTTCTCTCTGCACTGTGAAAATTTGTTGTTTTTTTGCACCGTGCAATAGGCTTTTTTGGCTGTCGCTCGCACCCTGGACTAGCATACGAAATTTTTTGTCCAGGATAAGGTTGTTGGTTGCCTTTGCTTCCTGTTGCTTCGGAGGATCGGAGCAAGTCGGTGAAAGCACCGTAGCCAATGGTTTTCTGCCATCTTTAAGCACTTCTCATCGAAAAAATCAAGTCATCACTTTGACTGTACTACTTAAGACAAACAAGTGAAGATTATGAAAAATGAATTGGATTTTCTCAATCAGCCCATAAACGGAAAAAATTTTAGGTTCCCATTATCAGTCTGTCGGAGAAATAATGATCTGCGCCAATCGCTTCGCTGAAGTGAAAAGCAATTTGATTTTGCCGCGACAAAATTCATTTTCTCGGCGATGCGATTTTCGATGCGACAAAGTACTCATTATTTTCCCGACTGACTATAAATTTTCACAGCTGCTTTTCATTTTGTTCAGCTTCCACGTCAGACAATGCCAATCCCTCAAACTACAGGAAGCCAGCCGAATCCTGGGCCGAGATCTGGAAGGAATGGCCGAAGTGCACCTTCTGCATATTGTCCAATGAGTTTTGCGAACGTTTCTCCTACTATGGAATGCGAACCGTCTTGACGTTATACTTTCTGAACGTTCTTCAGTTCACGGATCGAACTGCTACAATTTGCTTTCAAAGTTTCGTCATCGCCTGCTATTTCCTGCCACTGTTTGGTTCGGTGCTGGCCGATGGGTACATCGGGAAGTTTTGGTAGGTTTGGGAGGAAAGAATGATAAAAAATACTTATTAGGGAAGTGTACAAGCCATGGAAAGCTTGTAAACTTCCCTAGTTAGGGAAAAGGGGTGAAAATTTTTGTTTGTAATAGTAATAATTGAAGAGTTTTGTTTTACGGAAGTTCATTTTGGCCTGAAAGTGACTTTTGAGCCATTGAAATTGGCTGCACGCAAGTTTCGTGGTGCATGTGTCAAAAACATTAACAGGGGAAGTACTCCAAGTGCGACGCTCAGATTTTCTTTAAATTTTGCACACACGTCGGGTATGGACTAAATCTCAATTCCTGAAAGTTTTAGCTCGCGCTTTGCGGGCGCCGCCGAGATATCGCACGATTTATGCCGCCGAGAGAGCACGCTAAACGTGGAGAGCGGTCAGAGAGAAAAGCGCTTTTTGGCCATAACTTTGGCAGTTTCGTGCGGAAAAATTTGATTTTTTGTGGAAACATTATCCTTTACGGTAGAAATAGGCATGAAATTTTTCGAGGCGAAATTCGGCAAAAAGTCCAAAATTTTGGCCGACTTTTTATCTAAAAATCTCGATTGTTTGAGATTTTTAGATTTAGAAAAAATTGTTCTAAATTTGTGCCAAGTTTCATCAAAATCTGAGCGTCGCACTTGGAGTACTTCCCCTGGAAAAAAAACAGTTTAGGGCAACTTATGGTGTGGATTGATAATAAAATCTAACCGTTTCTTTTTTGATTTTTTCTTTCTCTGCTTCAACAGTAAGGTAGTAATTCTTGAAAGCACTTCTCATCGAAAAAATCAAATTATTAGTTATTTACTGTACTATACTTAAGACTAATGAAGGTTGGGGAAAATAAATTGGATTTTCTAAGTCAGCACGGTTGATTTCCCTACGCCTTTCAGATCTCGCTGAGCGTAGAAAAATTTTTGGTTCCCATTAATATTCTGTCGGGAAAATAATGAGCACTCTGTCGCATCGAAAATCGCGTCGAATTATAAATTGTGTCGCGGCAAAATCAACTTGCCTTTCACTGCAGCGACACGGCTAGCTCAGTGAAATTGTACTCATTATTTTTCCGACAGACTGATAGTCGCCTTTCCCACATTTTGCCTCATCCATTTTTAGGACGATTGTGATCCTCTCGCTCCTCTACACCCTTGGCCAGATAACCCTTGCCGCCGCGTCCGCTTTCACCACCACCTCCTTCTACCATCCATGGCTGGACCTGCTCGGTCTCGGAGTGATCGCGCTGGGGACCGGAGGCATAAAGCCGTGCGTCTCGCCCTTTGGCGGCGATCAGTTCGAGCCGCACCAAACCCGGATGATATCGCTCTTCTTCTCCGCCTTCTACTTCATAATCAACTGTGGCGCCATGCTGTCGTCGATCGTATCGCCGCTGTTTCGGGCCCACTCCTGCCTCGGCCACGACAGCTGCTACCCGCTGGCGTTCGGCGTGCCGGCGGCGTTGATGATCACCGCGACGGCTGTGTTCATGGTGGGCAGCAAGTGGTACAAGAAGAATCCACCGAGCTCGAATATCTTTTCGGACGTGCTCTTTGTGGTTCGAGTAAGCGGGAATTTTGAACTTATCAGGCTGTCGGGAAAATCGTTGCGGCAGAACTCTCCCCCTTTTCTGAACTTTCCCTCAATCTGAACTCTTCCCCTTTCAAATTGAAAAAAAAAATTCATCGTATAAGATGTCATACCTAATTTTTCTCAATTTGAAAAAATTTTTCATCGTATAAGATGTCACACCTCGTTCTTTCAATTTGAAAAAAAATTCCATCGTATAACATGTCACACCTCGTTTTTTCAATTTAAAAAAGATTCCATCGTATAACATGTCACACCTCGTTTTTTCAATTTTCAAACTGGGGGAGTGTTCAAAAAGGGGGAGAGTTCAGATTGAGGGAAAGTTCAGAAAAGGGGGAGAGTTCAGGCTCAATCCGGGAAAATAATGAGCACGCTGTCGCATCGAAAATCGCATCGCCGCTGAGAAAATGAATTTTGTCGTGGCAAAATCAAATTTTCTTTTCATTGCAGCGGCGCGTTTGGCGCAGTGACGTTTTGCTCGTTATTTTCCCGACAAACTGATAGAAGAGCTCGAAATGAGACGCTCAGATTTTGATGTAACTTTTTTTCAAATTGAGAGTGATTTTTCTGATTGTAAGACATATGCCAGACTTCTAGTTCGCGATTTGCGAAAATAACCGAGATTTTTAGTCCAGAAGTTGCTCAAAGTGTGACACATTTTTGCGAATATTTGCGATAAAAATTTTCACGCCTATTTCTACCACAGCGTATAATGTTCCAACAAAAAACCGTATTTTAGATGATTAAAAAGCTGTTTTCGCTAACCGCTCTCCACATTTTGCGTACCCTCTCGGCCGCAAAGATCGTTGAATATCTCGACTTCCCCTCCCAATTTCGAGCTGAAATTTGTAGGAATTGATGTATAACCCAAGCCTAATATGTGTACAAAATTTCAAGAAAATCAGCGCGTCCCACTTTGAGTACCTCTCTTTTCAAATGCCGTCATCAAATTTTGAGACGAACATTTTATGACTGTCCTGCATTCATGTTTACCATTTCAATTTACAGAAAGCCCTGCAAAACAAAAAAACGTCGTTGAAAACGCATTCCCATTGGGTGGAATACTCGTTGGATGATCATGATTGCGACAAGGACGAGGAGTGCAAGAAATGGAAGAGGAGGGCAGGCTCGACTGAGTCTTGTTTCAGGGTGAGTTCACATCTTTTATCATATATATAACAGTCTGTCGGGAAAATAATGTGCATTCTTCGTTCCTTGGAATCGGCCGTCATCGCTTTGCGACGGCTAGCCGCGGCTGGCGATTTGGTGGCTGGACAAAACCGTATTATTTTCCCGACGGGCTGATAAAACAGAGACCTGAAAGCCCGGCCTATTTCAAGGTCAAGGTCGGGCCGGCCAGACATTTTTCAAAGCTTTTCGCAGCCCCAAAAGCCCTGTCTCGGGGTGCCTAAAGCTCCACTCGGCTAATTAGTGTGTACATCAGTCTGTCGGGAAAATAATGTGGATTCGTCGCAGAAAAATGTCTCGCCTCGTCGCAGTCGCGCCCCCAAATCTACCGTCATGGTTAGCCGTCGCAAAGCGATGATATATCCACATTATTTTCCCGACAAGCTGATACCTCTTCTCACTGTTAAAAAACAACAAATTAAGGCCGCATTTGTCGCGGATGTCCGGTCATTTCTCCGCATCTTGGTCATGTTCCTGCCTTTGCCCATGTTCTTTGCGCTCTACGACCAACAGGGCTCCAAATGGACCATTCAGGCGCTCCACATGGACCTTCGTATCTTCGGGGAGACAATAATTCTTCCGGATCAGATGCTCTCACTGAATGCTGTCCTAATCTTGATCTTCATCCCGTTGTTTCAAGTCATCATTTTTCCGGCGGTCGAAAAGGTCGCCAAAGTGACGTACGTTGATTTTTTCGAAATTTAGAAGGGAAGTATCGTGAGTGCGACGCTCAGGTTTCAAAAAAAATTGCTGACAACTTGGGTTATAGGTCACATATCAAATCTTGAAAATTTTAGCTTGCGCTTTGCAACTACAGCCGAGATATTCAAGTTTCCGACGAGAGAGTATGAGAAATGCGGAGAGCGGTCAGAGAGAGAACACTTTTTGGCCGCATCTTTGCCAGTTTTGTGCGGAGAAAATTGATTTTTGGTGGAAACATCACACTCTACGGTAGAAATAGACGTGAAACTTTTCATGCCAAAATTCATAAAAAAAAATTTGATTTTTCACCAAATTTCGACCTCAAAATCTCGCTCGTTTCTCCAAAGCGCGAGCTAGGAAGCTCGGATACACCTTTGAAAAAAAGTTTCATCAAAGTCTGAGCGTCGCATTTGTAGTAAATCTCTTGTTAGTGCAACATAGAAGAGAAAAAGGTAAAGAAATTTTGCCTAATTTTTTACAATATTGTTATATTTTAGACCCTTGAGGAAGATGGTTTGTGGTGGACTACTTACAGTTGTCGCATTTTGCATCGCCGCGGTTGTTCAGATCAAGATTAACGTAAGCTAGAGAGATTAGTGACGGACCTGACAAAAAACGTACCATTTTGCATCCGGGAAGTATCAAGAAATGTGGCCAAATGCCTCCCTCTTCAACTAATCAAACTCCGTTTTGAACTCACAAAAAGAGCGGGTGCGCTTTTGAAATCGGAGTTTTTGCTTGGAGGTATTTTGCCACATTTTTTTGATACCTCTCGGACGCAAAATGATATGTTTTTTTGTCACTGGCCACTGTATATAGGTAGTATAATATGATTAAAAAATGAATTTCCAGGACTCTCTGCCAGAGCGAATAACCCCCGACACATCACATCTCTATACCGTAAACACACTGAGAAACTGCCAGTTTATCATCAATTCCCACGAGCCCTTCGAAGATGAGATAATGAAATTTCCAAGCGGTGAACATACCTTTGAGTTTGGTTATGTGGGAGATGGCTGTGTCAAGAACTTGCCAATAAGCCTTAAAACGACTTTGAAGAGTGGTCAAGGCTATGGCTTGATCCTGACGGAACAAGGGGTGCTATTCACTCCAGTTGAATTTAGAAAACCAACCGGTGGAAATGGAGAGTCCGCACAAAGGTATGTGCCAAAAATTTTCTGTCAGTCTGTCGGGAAAATAACGAGGACTCTGTCACTGCACCGATAGCGTCGCTGAAGTGAAAAGAAATTTGATCCTGCCGCGAAGACAATTCATTTTCCCCGCGGCGATGCGATTTTCGATGCGATTGCTCATTATTTTCGCGACAGACTGGTTATAAACAATTTTGCAAGGGCCGTGTCCTGTTTGTGCAATGCTCAGATTTTTTAAAAATTTAACACAGTTATTGGGCCTAGGCCGCGTATGAATTCCTGAAAATTTTAGCTGCCGCTTTGCTGGCCCGAACGAGATAATTCAACGATCTTTGCGGCCGACATAGTACAGCGGTCACACAGCAAAGGTCTTTTTGGCCATATCTTTGCCAGTTTTCAAAAAAAATCTATTTTCTGTGGAGACATTATGTATATAATATTGTTAAATTTGTGCCAGCTTTCATCAAACTCTAAGCGTCGAAGTTGGAGTATCAGTCCGTCGGGAAAATATTGTGGATTTGACGCAGCAAAATGTCAGCATCAGATTTCGAGTCGCGGCTCTCCGTCGCAAATCGACGATGGGCGATTCCAAGGCGCGACAAATCCACATTATTTTCCCGACAAACTGATATAATAACGAACGACAATCCTCATATCAGTCCGTCGGGAAAATAATAAGCCTGTCGACATTGTGCTTATTATTTTCCCGACAGACTGGCAAAATCTGAAAAAATTCGATTACAAAGAAAGATTTCAGCTTCCTCATCGCTCTGGCCAACTTTACCTTCTCCGATAACATGGCGCTTTGCCGCGTTGATTCTTCGGCCTCTCCATGTTCCAATAAAGACGCTTCGCATTACATCGAATACTCTGGCTACACTTCATCGCATACAAACTCGGATCTGACTGCGCAAATACCCTACGTTACGAAGAGCGGGCTGTCGGTACATAAAGCGTCGCTATTTCGACAAAAATCGGTTAGATTGGGGAAATGGAAGTTGTATTTTATTGGCGCCAAGAATGGACAAGTTTTTTACGAAGATACCGGATATGGGTTCAGAAATAAGGATCAAGGAGGGGTCTATCTGAAGACGATTGTTGGCGGAACCGGAATTCAGGATGTGAGTTTTGGTTGGGAAATTCTATTTATCAGTCTGTCGGGAAAATAATGAGCACTCTGTCGCATCCAAAATCGCATCACCGCCGCGAAAATGAAATGTGTCGCGGAAAAATCAAATTGCTTTCTGCTTCAGCGACGCAATCGGTGCAGCGACAGAGTGCTATTATTTTCCCGACAAGCTGATATTGGGAAGCTACCCTATAGCACGAGGTAAAAATTAAGTGCTAAAAACATATTGTTTGAGAAGTACTGGGCTTGAAACCAACAGCATTAACGCGTTATGGCTTAATTTTCATCTCGTGCTATATAGTACCACTTAGTACTATACAGTACCAAGCGCTAAAGACGCATTTTTTGAGAAGTACTGGGCACCAAACTAACAGCATTAACGTCTGCATGCATAATTTTTAATTGTACTGTATAGTATCAAGCGTTAATATGTAGTACCTCTTGCCGCTTCCTGCACTGTGCAATGTTCGTGAAAAAATGGAAAAATTTTTCAATTTCACAGTGCGGAAAACTTTGCGACAAAAAGTCTACGCACTTTTGAAAAAGTGTAGTATCAGTTTGTCGGGGAAATAATGTGGATTTGTCGAAGCAAAATGCCTCGCCTCGCTGCTGTCATGGACCAAATCTCCAGCCGCGGCTAGCCGTCGCAAAGTGGCGATGGACGATTCCGAGACGATATAAATACACATTATTTTCCCGACAGACTGATGCCAAACTCCCAGAGTTTCAAAAAGAGCCCTAATTTTTAGGAAGTCCGCGTAATCTCGAAGCGATTAATCCCCGACAACACGGTCTCCATCCTTTGGCAATTCCCTCAGATTGCGGTGTTGACGGCCGGAGAATGTTTGTTCGCAATAACTGGCAATGAATTTGCCTATTCTCAGGCGGCGCCCTCGATGAGAGCGTTGGTCCAAGCGATCTGGCTGACCACAAGTGCGGCGGGCAATCTGATCATCGTCGTCATCGAGGTTTTGGACCTATTTAGCGGTAATTGATTCTTTTTTGACCCCTCTGAAACGGTGTACAGACTGCAAAAAATTGATCTTAATATACATATGTATTTTTCAGACATGGCATGGGAGTTCTTCGTGTACGCTGTGATTATGTTCATTGTCATGATGATTTTCGCAGCGCAATCCGCTTGCTATGAATACAACGACTACAGCAAGAGAGCTGTGGGCGACGACTGCCTTGAATCAAAAGAACTGACTGGATAGTTGCATGGCAACATCCGACTCAGGGCGGCCAAACTCCCCTGAGCCTGATGTACCTGCTTCAGATACGTTTTGACTTACTTTGGGCTGTTCCATTTGTCTTTGAGTGGGCCTGGCGCTTCCTCGGGTTATGACATTGATCATCAGGGTGCTGGAAGCGTGCGTGTGTCTTCTGAGTGCTGGAATGTATTCAGTGTTCGAGTCGGACTCACCTTCGTTGGCGGAGTCCACATCTGAGGAGCTTGAGAGAGATTGCATCTCCTCGGAGATTAGACATGAAAGACCATTAACAGAATTAGACGATTCATAAACCTGAGTACTCATCTCCGCAGAGAACTGCCTTGGACGGCATGAAATACAATAAAACTTATCATTCAAAAACCCTGTAAAATTATTCAAAAACCCTGTAAGATTCCCATTGAACGTTCGCAAAATGTCCCGAGAGTAATTCCCAATAAATGACCTCATAACCTGGCCTGGGGGCGCGCCCATAAAATTCCCGTGTACTTCCCGAGAAGGGTGGAGTGAACTCGTCTCCTCAGAGACCAAAAACTCCCCCTTGAGTTTCATAAAACTAAACCTGAGCCTTCTGATTAAGGCAGAAATTATAACAGCGCTTTCCGATCGGAGAACGCTGGGTCGACCTCGCGTCTGTCTTCTTTTGTGCTTTTATACAGGCCTATCGCCCGCCTTTCTCAGCGTCTTGTGGCCAAAGCGGGGGCGCCGTTAAGTGATGGCGTCTTATGGCCAGATCGGAAGAGCCGATAAGCAATGAGAATCGGGCCCTTCGGAATGTACCGTAGTGTTCGATCTTTTGTCTCCGCAGAGACATGGGCTGGACTGGGGCCGAGCCATGGGCCATTGCACTCTTCACCAACATTTCTCAGCCATCGAAAAAGAATTGGATCTCCTGAAGAAAACAACCAAAGGTGAGTTCAGTAGTTCACTGTTTACAGATCTGCAGACCGAAGTCAAAATCCAAGGAGAAGAGCTACACAAAGAAGTCAAGATGGCTACTGAGGCCATCGAGGATTCAACGAAGTCCTACATTGGTGAAATTAATCTACAAATCACTGGTCTGAAACAGCAAGTGGCCGATCTCTCAACACAAACGCTCAATCTTGAGGCCAAGTACTCCGAGGAACTCAGGAATTTTGGTCAACAACTTCAAGACTTCCGTCAGCAGCTGGTTCACGAACAGGATTCGCAGAACAATCAATTCCTCTTGGCACTATCAGGTAACGAAACTATGCCTCGAGAGGCTGAAGAATCACTTTTAAATTTACCTCCCATCCCCTCCAACCTTGAGGTCAATGTCATTGATTTTGGCAACCTTATGAAATTTTATTCTGGGGAAGGAGATGAATCTTTTTCCGAATTTATCCTCAAATTTGAGGATTTTGCCAATCAGCAATCCACTCCTTGGGATGATAAAACCAAACTTTCTAAGTTAAGACTTTTGTTATCAGGGGAAGCCAGAGAAAAATTCCAAATTACTTGTGGTGATTCCGATAGCCTTACTTATGCGCAGGCAAAACAAAAGTTGCTGGCGTCTTATAAGCAAGACTCTCTGCACTCTGGGGTTCTTTCGGAACTTCACGCAACTAGACAGCGTGACGGAGAAACCGTCGATGACTTCTTCTGTCGTCTTCGGCGGGTTTTGACAAAATTAATGCCCGATGCCTCACCTGAGGAGTTAAAAACTCGGTTTAAGGAGGAATTTACTTATCGTCTGTTAGATTCAATCAGCACTCCGCTGCAATGGCTTGCACCGACTACTCTAGAAGAGGCCCGACAAAAAGCGCGTACTATTGAAAGCTCTCTCAGAAGATCAGAGGTCCAAAGAACCGAAATGGCCCTCAGGCAACTAGGATCTGGAGTGAATGCGGCCCTAGCCCAAAACTGGCCCACCAACCAAGGAGCCAGTCGACCTTCTGGAGGACAACTTTTTCCATCACAAACCAACAATTATCCGGTAAGCCCTTATCAGAATATTCGTTGTTTCTTTTGCCAGTCTCTTGGACATGTCAAGAGAGAATGCCGAAAATTTGCCGCTTATATTGCGCGTCAAAACTCGGGTCCTCAACAGAGCTCCAACAGACCGAATGGCGGCACTCCATGGCAGCGCAACAACTACGGACAACCTAGAAATGCGCAATACACTCAAATGATGAACAACAATCAACGCTCTGGACAGCGTCAAATGTTTGTTCCATCCTCAGCGCTTCCGCCCCGGCACACACACGCTAATGCCGTCCAGCCGTTATTGGAGTCACCTCTCTTCACTGATGACATCCCACTTCAGCAACCCACTGAGATTGTTCAAACCGATGCTCGCGACGCGGCACTCCAGCTCCTACAAAGGAAACGAGATCAGCGAATGTGCCGACATGTTGGTCACCATCTACTTGTAGTACAATGGGCAAATAATCATAACACGACTAAATCTTCAAATTGGCAAGAAAACAATAGGCCTCAAACTCTTAACAATCTCAATACTCCCCTTTTATCTCCCAAATTAACACCTTCTGTTGCTCTTTTTATTGCGCTTCACTTAATTACACTAATTTCAGGAACTGAAATCAATCCCATGATCTGCCAGAACAGCAATGCCCGTACTCTCTACAAGATCCCTTCCATGGAAAACTGTGATCTACCACCGCTCGAAATCCCGGTACCAATGACATTGGAGATATTCAAGCCCAACACCGACGCTCGCTCGCAGGCAGCCTGGTCCTGTCGCATTCAGAAAGCCACGATCCAATACTCCACTTCACTTACTGGACTTGTTATGGAGACTCCAGTGACAACAGAAACGATGCTGGTTCACCCACGTCAATGCTGGGACATGCTGAAGACCAAGAACTGTGCATTCGGCAGTCTCACGAACCGATCCACGTTGTGGCTCACCAACAACAACTTCAAAAGAGACTATCCTTGGCCAGTTCTCGGTAGTTTCTCTTGGAAAACTGAACATGTGCACAATTGTGAAGTGCTTCCACTCCAACTACAATTCGCCTTTGGTGACAATACTGTTCAAAGCCCACTCGGAACGTTTGACAACTGCCCTTACTCTCAAGGATATTGTACAACCCCTGATCACATTACATTGATATGGACTCCCAAAGCCTCCAGCAACTGCCCCTTCATAAAGGTAAGCACAACAAAAGGTTTAGTGAGCTCTCGCCTCTGGATGGCTTCAAATAACAATATGGCACTGGAGATATCCCCCGACCAGGTTGACAATTGTGGTACCTTCCTCAACCTGACCAGCCAAGGATTCGCAGTCACTACTCACGAGACTCGACCAAAACGAGCCAAGCTAGTAGATGCCGAACTGCTGTCCAGCGTTGCGTCGGCACTCAGCATCCAGTCTGTCCTAATGATCAAGTCTTCGTTACATTTTGCTCAAATGGAACGGTGTAGACAGCAGCGACAAATCACGGCCCTTCAACAAGCAATCATGGAACAAGATGCCACCTCCTTAGCACGATCAATCCTCAACTTTCCCTATGTCCATGCCAGAAGAGTCACACCATCCATCCTTGAAGTCCTCCAGTGCACACCTGTCCCCTTCAGTACCATCAAGATACGTGAGTCAAAATTTTGCTATGAGCTTACTCCTATTTACTTCATTGACAGCAACCTAAAGGTAGTGTCAGCTTTTTTGGATACTGTTGACATGATCATAAAACATGACAGTCATACTATCCCGTGCCTAGGAGCGCGCGGCGCTTTCCCCCTGGGCAATAACTCTTGGGTCCAATTTTTACAACCATATAGAAATTCCACTTTTCCGTTTCCTCAAAATATTACATTGCTTCATGCGCAAAGCGAACATAATAACAGCGCACCACCTAATCTAGCGATAAATATTTTTCGAGTGGAATCAATCACCAATTTTTCTGCCCCTACTCCCTTACTCTCATTTACTCCCCCTGGAGCTCGATTCAGAAGTCAAGACCTCTCTCATGAGTTGCCGGAAGGACCGCAAACGGTTCTATCCCTCTTGACTATCCCTCAATGGTTAATCCAGTCGTGGATTTACGGCTGTTGTTGTGTTGTCTCACTTCAATTAATATTTATTGTTTGGGCTTTCTCGAAATTCCTCAAGGAAAAGATCTCACCAGCACCAAAACCGGTTGTGCAAGTAGTAGTACCCCAAGAAAAACCGACAGTCTGGCCCCCGCCATTGGTTGCCTCATGTGACAACGGGATTCCATATGCTCAGATCCCTCTCAAGATCAATGGAGTTCCTCTTTGCGGGCTCATTGATACTGGAGCCAGCATGTCAATTATGGCTGCTGCACTGGCTCCAGCCTTAGGTCTCAACATTGCTCAGCATGCGCAAAGGTTTGCAACCTCAGCAAGTGGCCATACACTTCGGTTGTTCGATGACAAAGTGGTAACGTTGGAAATTGGTAATCTCGTCCAAAACATTAACATGACCTTCTCCGACAACACCAACTTCCTCAACGCCAGCTATGACGTCATCATTGGCTGTACAGCCTTGGCTGAACTACCCCCCATGCTGATCGACATGAAGGCGCGAACAGTAGCCATTGGTAGAAACATTCTTCCGCTCATGTCCCCAGAAGAAATGGCAATGCTCCCGGTAAAAATAAAGGCCATTTCAGCTGTCACTTTACACCCATTCTCAACTACTCTAGTCCAATGCCACCCAGATACAGTGAGCTCTCCCTCCAATACAATCCTCATGATTAATGATCCCAGGTACGTTGTCGATCTCCCAAACCCATATCTTTGCGAAGATGATAAATCAAAACTCAAATCGTTAATCAAAGCATTCCGATATCATTCATTGTCCTCAATATGACATTGACTGTTCTTCTCTGATTGTTTCCTTACATTTTTTTACTTTTGTGATTCTCTAATCCCCATTGCTCGAGCGCTTTGCCTCTAGATCACTCAGCACCCCGATGCAAACACTTGTTTTTTTTTCAAATGGGAAAAGGAGTGCAATGGTGGACCGGCGGCACCCCCAGTCCATGTCTCTGCGGAGGCGAAAAGCGCATACTGTACATTCCACTGCACAACGGAAAAGGTGATTAAGGCCGTCCCCACCGCTTATCTCTGGCTCCGATCTGGCCATAAGACGCCGGAAGGGGTAGGCGATAGGCCGTATAAAAGCACAGAAGAACGTGCCTTCAAGGTCGACCCAGCGTTCTCCGATCGGAAAGCGCTGTTATAATTTCTGCCTTAATCAGAAGGCTCAGGTTTAGTTTTATGAAACTCAAGGGGGAGTTTTTGGTCTCTGAGGAGACGAGTTCACTCCACCCTTCTCGGGAAGTACACGGGAATTTTATGGGCGCGCCCCCAGGCCAGGTTATGAGGTCATTTATTGGGAATTACTCTCGGGACATTTTGCGAACGTTCAATGGGAATCTTACAGGGCTTTTAAATAATTTTACAGGGTTTTTGAATGATATGTTTTATTGTATTTTATGCCGTCCAAGGCAGTTCTCTGCGGAGATGAGTACTCAGGTTTATGAATCGTCTAATTCTGTTAATGGTCTTTTCTGTCTAATCTCCGAGGAGATGCAATCTCTCTCAAGCTCCTCAGATGTGGACTCCGCCAACAAAGGTGAGTCCGACTCAAACACCGAATACATTCCAGCACTCAGAAGACACACGCACGCTTCCAGCGCCCTGATGATCAATGTCATAACCCGAGGAAGCGCCAGGCCCACTCAAAGACAAATGGAACAGCCCAAGGTAAGTCAAAACATGTCTGAAGCAGGAACATCAGGCTCAGGGGAGTTTGGCCGCCCTGAGTCGGATGTTACCATGCAACTGGATAAAACAAGAGCTTCTTGACACTGTCTTTATTTTATGGACGGACGAATGTTTCGAATGTGATTATGGATTGATCTCGGGTTATTTGAATAAATTTGCATTAAAAAATGAGCTGAAAATTTCACTTTTAATTTCCGAATAAACAAAGTTGCACTTTCAAGGGAAGTACCGCAAGTGCGCTTTTCTTTCTTTTGCACCGTAAAAATTGTTGTGCACCAAGGGGCGCGGCGACACATAGTTAACAAGATATATGTTGCGTCGACTTATGAATAGCACAGTGCATACGTGAAAACCATAGTGCAAAAAACTTTGCTACAAAAGGTCTACGCACTTTACGGAGCGACTATTGGCGTTTTCACAAAGTCCGTGCAAACCTCAAAAACGCCGATTGCACGGTGCAAGAAGGCGCGTTTGGGCACGGTGCGGACCGCGACAAATGTCCAGCCGCTTTGTGAAAATGCTAATAGTAGTAAAATACATGGCTAACAGTGGTTCCGAAAAGTGCGTGGACTTTTTTTCGCGGCGCATTTTTTCTGTGCGTTTTTCTTCTCTTTGCACCGTTGAATTGCTCGCAAATGCACAGCCGAAAATTTGCGACAAAAAGTCTACGCACTTTCTGGAACGACCAGTGAAAAGCTGGGCTTTCGCTTCCCGCGGGCCCCTTCAAAGTCGGTCCAGCCCTTGTCAAAATTTCCCAAAGCCTCAAAAATCCCGGCAGTGCCTCCAGTAGGCATGGCTCCAGGCCGCGCTTTGCAAAATTTTCCGGCCGACTAATTTCTCGGCCCGCCTTCGGGCTTCGATTTTTAGGCCCGGTTTTTTTTGAAATCTGAGTTTTGCCCGGAAAAAAGGAAAAAATAAGCTTTTTCGATAGAATTTTTCATTTTTTCGAACACATTGCTGATAGCGAACGTAAAGTGACCTTATGTATCTAGGTTTTGCTAAATTTTTCTTTACATTTTGCGAAAATTTGCCATAATTTTCCTCTCATTTCGCGCTTTCTTTCTTTCCAACCTAGTACATATAAAAATTTTCCGGGCCGAACCGGGCCGGGCTTTCCAAATTTTCCAAGCCCGGGCCCGGGCCGGCCGTGGAGGTTTAAGCCCGGGCCCGGTTTGCAGCCATGCTTAGCCTCCAGCAAACTCCGCAAATGTTTGTTGTTCCAGAACTGCATGGTTGTGAAAGCACAGAGCAACGCGTCGATCTTGTGGCTATGCAAACAAGGCGAGCGACCCATAAAGAGAGGGTTTATCACTTTCCAAAAAAAGGGAAAGAATCGAATCAAAAAAGGATTGTTATCACTCCAACCTATCGCATATATAGAGCCTTTTTTGTGCTGAATTTATTTGTTTCCGAATTTTGATTTGTCGAGGTAAGGATGTAAATTCCATTGTGCAGAAAGTTTGACGTTATTTTTAGCGGGGACCTGTTCGTTGTGCGACGCTTAAATTTAAAAAAAAAAAATTTTATTTGGCAAAAACGTTGGGCTTAGACCACATATCAATCCCTGAAAATTTCAGCTCGCGTTATGCAACTACAGCCAAGATATTAAATTTTCAGGCGAGAGAGTACGCGAAGAGCGGAGAGTGGTCAGAGAAAAAGCACTTTTTGGCGATATCTTTGCCAATTTCGTGGCGGAAAATTGTTTTTTTTTTTGTAAAAATCGCACAAAGTACTTGGACTTTATCTTTATAAACTTTGAAAGGGGCCGGCCCCACTTTTTTGGGGGGACATTTGAACCTTTTGAGGTTCAAAATTTCTAATTTTGGCAACTCTTTTTTGGAACAAAAATACAATTTTTTTTTTGGATAAAAGGAGTCATTCAACGATCCTTTTTTCACAAGAGATACGTGAAATGCGGAGAGTGGTCAGAGAAAAAACACTTTTTGGCCATAGCTTTGCCAGTTTCGTGCGGAAACAATTGATTTTTTGTGGAAATCACACAAAGTACTTGGACTTTATCTTTATAAGTTTTGAAAGGGGCCGGCCCCACTCTTTTGAGGGACATTTTTTGGGTCGAAAATTCCTTTTGACCTTTTTCGAAAAAAAAAAATTTTTTGGAAAAATTCTCCTTGTGGCCAAGAGAATACGCGAAGTGCGGAGAGCGTCAGAGAAAAAACACTTTTTGGCCATATCTTTGCCAGTTTCATGCGGAAAAAATTGATTTTTTGTGGAAACATCACTCTCAACGGTAGAAATAGCCATGAAACTTTTCGTGGCAAAATTCACAAAAAAAATTTCGAATTTTCACCAACTTTTTCGACCAAAAAATCCCGGTTGTTTCTGCAAAGCGTGAGCTAAAAATCTCACATAATTCTTAGAAAAAATAACAATAAATTTGTCCCGAGTTTTATCAAAATCTGAGCATTTTTATCAAAATCTTGGGCACTCTCCGCGGTTAGGTGCATTTCCGACATTATCCATCTTTCTTTTCCCCATTTTTTGCCGCAAAATCCCAAAAGAATTGGGGAGTTTCGGGTTGGGCAGACAGCCCCAACTTATATAGAAATCCGGCGGATTTAACCGCCAAACAAAGGGAAAAGAGATTTTGTTTTTTCTACTCTGCTTTTGGGTTGCAGTTTGAGTGTGATGTGGCTAACGACATCTATTTTTCCCAATGTAAATTATCATTATATTCGGGATGATTTTGAAAATTTAAGCCTTACAAAATTGCGCTTGCTTTAATCCGATTAGCACTTTTTTCATAAAATGAGTAGACTTTTTTTTGCGGCGCACAGTGCATTTTCCATCTTTTTGCACTGTGCGAAAGTGCAAAAAATTTGCGACAAAAAGTCTACGCACTTTGTGCAACGACTATTAGCATTTTCATAAAGTGCCCGGACTTGTTTTCGCTTTCGCACAGTGCATCTTGAACTTTTGTCGCCAACGCACTGTGGGTTTTTGTCTTCGCGCACCGTGCAAACCTCGAAAAAGCCGATTTCACTGTGCACATTTTTGATCAAAATCGCCGCGGCGCAGTTGAGAAAAGCTTACGTCGCAGCGATATTTCGAATGCACAGTGCAAAACCAAAGAAAGGTCCAATGCACGGTGCAAAAAATCGCGGGTGTTTGTGCACAGTGCGCGCAGCGACAAAAGTCCAGGCACTTTATGAAAATGCTAATAGTAGTATTCGTTTTTCATAAAGTGCGTAGACTTTTTTCGCGGCGCACAGTGCACAAAAAACCTTTTTTTTGCACCGTGCGCCACGAATTTGCACAGTGCAAAGCGAACTCTTTTCTTTGCACAGTGCATGTCGCCGAAAACCAAGGCTATTTTTTTGCGTTTTGCACTGTGCGAAAAGAGAAAAATGCACTGTGCGTTGGCGACAAAGCGTGGGAAAAAGTTCAAACTGCACAGTGCATAAACCCCTTTTTGCACCGTGCGCCACGAGTTTGCACAGTGCAAAAAAGTCTTTTCTTGATTTTTGCACGGTGCGGCCGGGACCGGAAACTTGCACAGTGCAAACGGCTTTTTTGAGGTCTGCACTGTGCAAAAAGAGAAAAATGCACTGTGCATTGGCGACAAGCGCGGGAAAAAGTTATAAGTGCGCTGTTTGTGCACAGTGCACGCTTTAATCGTATCAATATTTTTTTTCATAAGTTTCATAAAGTGCATGGACATTTGTCGCGGGCCGCACAGTGCGCGAAAACCCCCGGTTTTGCACCGTGCATTCCACATTTTCTTTGGTTTTCGCACAGTGCACACGAAATATCGGCGTGACGCCAGGAATTTGCATTGTGCAAACGACTTTTTTGAGGTCTGCACTTTACGAAAAGAGAAAAATGCACTGTGCGTTGGCGACAAAGCGTGGGAAAAAGTTCAAACTGCACAGTGCATAAACCCTTTTTTGCACCGTGCGTCACGAATTTGCACAGTGCAAAGCAAATTTTTTTTCGCACAGTGCATGTCGCCAAAAATCACGGCTATTTTTTTGAGGTTTGCACTGTGCGAAAAGAGAAAAATGCACTGTGCGTTGGCGATGGGAAAAAGTTCAAAATTCACACTGTTTGTGCACAGTGCACAAAAACCCCAATTTTGCACCGTACATTTCAAAAAAATTTGTTTCTTGGTTTTTGCACGGTGCGGTCTTGGTTCCTGGAATTTGCACAGTGCAAACAGCTTTTTTGAGGTCTGCACTGTGCGAAAAGAGAAAAATGCACTGTGCGTTGGCGACAAGTGTGGGAAAAAGTTCAAAATACACTGCTTGTGCACAGTGCACAAAAAACCCAAGTTTGCACCGTGCAAAAACCAAGAAAAAAAATTTTTTTTTGAAATGCACAGTGCAAAATTGGGTTTTTTTTTGTGCACTGTGCGAAAAGAGAAAAGTGCACTGTGCGTTGGTTCAAAATACATGGCTTCTGCACAGTGCACAAAAAACCCAATTCTGCACTGTGCAAAAAATCAAAAAAAAATTTTTTGATTTTTGCACTGTGCAAACGGCTTTTTTGAGGTCTGCACTGTGCGAAAAAGGAAAAATGCACTGTGCGTTGGCGACGAGTGTTGGAGAAGGTTCAAAATGCCCCGTGCAAACGTGAAAAAATGTCCATGCACTTTATGAAAACACTAATAATCCAGTTTACAACGCTTTTTTCGACCCTCTTATTCATTCTTTTTACCCAAATGTGTGCCTAATAGCGATATCATGTCATGTAATTTGAGTCGGATTAATGTTTTCCCAGAAAAACAAGCCATTTATGAAGCGAGTTGGTGCTGGACAAACATAAAAAAAATTAGTTAGAGCTAAAAAAATTTTGTTGTTTTATGGCTCCGCTGTCTTCGAATGTAAATCAGCTTTGTCAAAGGGCAATTTGTAGGGGGCTTTGGGGTTGCCGGTCTCAAAAAACACTTGGAATATAATGAATAAGTTGTTTTGCTCCTTGCTAGCATTTTCATAAAGTGCTTACCACGGTTTTTTTGAAAGTGCGTTCACATTTTTTGCACGGTGCAAGGGTTATTTTGAACAATTTTTTGCACTGTGCGCGAGCCATTTTGAACAATTTTTTGCACGGTGCGAGGCATCTTGGACTATTTTTTGCACAGTGCGCGGGGCATCTTGAACCATTTTTCGCACTGTGCGGAGGCATTTTTAACTATTTTTTGCACGGTGCGCGGGGCATCTTGAACTATTTTTTGCACGGTGCGCGGGGCATCTTGAACTATTTTTTGCACGTTGCGACGCATTTTGAATCATTTCTTGCACTGTGCGCGGAGCATCTTGAACTATTTTTTGCACTGTGCGCGGGCCATTTTGAACCATTTTTTGCACAGTGCGGAGGCCACTTTGAATCATTTTTTGCACTGTGCGCGTGTCATTTTGAACTATTTTGCACTCTTCGCTGACGATTTTGTACCATCTTGCACGGTGCGCACAGTGCATTTTGCCTCTTTTCTGCACGGTGCGGGTGCCATTTTTAACCATTTTTGCACGGTGCGACGCATTTTGAACTATTTCTTCGCACTGTGCGCGAGCCATTTTGAATCATTTTTTGCACTGTGCGTTGACGATTTTGTACCCTCTTGCACGGTGCGCACAGTGCATTCCGCTTGTTTTTTGCACCGTGCGCGGGCACTTTGCGTTTTTTTGCACGGTGCACCGACCATTTCGAACCATTTTGCACTGTGCAATCTGTCGCGCTCGCAAAATTCGCGGCGATGTTCCCGATTGCACAGTGCAAAAGGTCAAATGCACAGTGCGTTTTTCCAAAAGAAAAAATGCACAGTGCGGAAGGTTTGCGACGTCGCAGAGCTTTTCGCACTGTGCACTTCTCTTTTTGCACAGTGCAATTCAAAAATAGATGCATAATGCACTGTGCGCCGAGAAAAAAAAGTCCGCGCAGTTTATGAAAAGAACTTCGGTCAGTCGGGAAAATAATGAGCACAATGTGACATCGAAAATTGCATCGCCGCCGCCCACAAAACTGAAGTGAAAAGAAATTTGATTTTGTCGCGACACAGTTCATTTTCGCGGCGCGCCGAGAACATCGCGGCGGCGATGTGATTCCCGATGCGACCGAATGCTCATTATTTTCCCTACAGACTGATCAGATCTCTTTCAAAAAGTGCTCCTTTTTTATGCCCGGTCTTCCACATCCTTCTCAACAACCCGTGGTATTTCGAGAACTACCGGAAGTATCGTTATGATGTATGTGTTTGTTTAAGAACGTATTTTTCATTCTTCAGATGCCTTTATTCACACTAATGGCGCGATTACGGGTTCGCTTCGTAGTTTTCGTAGGAATTGCGGTCACTATGGTCGTATTGCTGTTCAATATGAACACTGAGTTCATGGTTAGTCAGAAGGAGGTGGTCAGGTTTTACATGACGCCCGAGTTTGAATTGGCGCCTCAAGACGAAAATTGGTAAGGTTTTTACATATATGTAGATAGATGTATACATGATAGTAATTTTGCATCCATTTTTTGGACTTTCAAAAAAATAGGAAAAGTTTACGCATTTTTGAAAAAAACAGTGCTTTGTTGCATATAGTGTATCAGTCTGTCGGGAAAATAATGTGGATTCGTCGCGACTTAAAATCGCACATCATCGCTTGGCTTGCCGCGGTTGGGGATTTGGTCAGTTGCGATAAAACCACATTATTTTTCCGACAGAGTGATAAAGAAGTTAATTTTGCCCAAGGTTGAGCCTTGAGGCCTCTCATTAGCATTTTCATAAAGTGCATGGATATTTTTTCACTTTCTCACAGTGCGTCCGGAATTTTTTCCGACGCTTGTGGTCAACGCACAAAATTGAAGAAAATTTTCATCGTATAACATATCACACCTCATTTTTTTCAATTTGAAAAAAAAAACTCCATCGTATAAAGCGTCACACCTTATTCTTTTTCATTTGAAAAAATTTTCATCGTATAACATGTCACACCTTATTTTTTTCCGCTTGAAAAAAAATTCCATCGTATAACATGTCACACCTCATTTTTTCAATTTGAAAAAAATTTCCATCGTATAACATGTCACACCTCATTTTTTCAATTTGAAAAAAAATTCCATCGTATAACATGTCACACCTCATTTTTTCAATTTGAAAAAAATTTCCATCGTATAACATGTCACACCTCATTTCTTCAATTTTCAAAATGAGGGGGAGTGTTTAAAAAAGGAGTGTTCGGATTGGGCGGGAGAGTTCAGAAAAGGGGTAGAGTTTTGCCGCAACGGCGAAACCCCAAAAAGAAAAGGTGTTAGAAAAGATAATATATACGTACGGTGCACGAAAAAAGGGGGTTTTTATTGACCGAGCGTGACAAATGTCCATGCACTTTATGAAAATACTAGTGGGTTGTTTTCTATAGTGAAATTTTGTCATACAGGATGTTCGGTGTACACAGGTTTGAGTAAAATTTCATTTCAGGAAGTTGCTAATCGATCTGGACTGCTTTAACCGTCTCAGCAAAAATCTCCCTTGCCAAGCGCCACTTCAAGTCGCTTCTTTCTCCAATACCTCCGTATCATCACACTTTTCCCCGGTATATCGTCTTTCCCGCGATACCACGCACGATTTCACCACTTTCACGCCACTGAACGCAACCCATCCCACCCGTTTGATCGTGAATTTCGAGTTCTGGAAGCCGAAAGAAATCGGGCTGGTGAATGGAGAACAAGTCGAAGTTGCGGTCCCTGACGATCTTGATGCCTTCACGAGGAAATGGCACAAGTCCGAAGCCATCGAATGCACCGGAATTGGCGCAAAAAACCGCCTTTTCTGGGATGCACGGCGGGTTCTGCCGCTCCGCGTGGTCAAGGAAGTGATGGCGCCGTTTCGCGATTTTTGCGACCGAAACAACAGAACTGCGTTCATCACAAGTGGCAGTTTATTGGGTGAGTGAAATTGATGATGAAAAATAACTTCACGAAAGTTCATGGGCAATGAAGCCATCATAAAAATTACAGTGAAACCGCTGTAGTATCAGTCTGTCGGGAAAATAATGAGGACTCTGACGCATCGAAAATCGCATCGCCGCTGAGAAAATGAATTGTGTCGCGGCAAAATCAAATTGCTTTTCACTTCAGCGACGCGACCGACATTTTTCTCATTATTTTCCCGACAGATTGATACTCGGCATAAAATCTTCTGAGAATTTGCACGGTGCTCCTTTGGCGTGTTGCTGCGGAAATTGCAAAAAAGTCCCCAAAAACCGCATTTTGCACAGTGCAATTTGGAGTTTTTGGATTTTTTTGCTTTCGTCGTAGATGATTCCCATTTGTCGCAGCGACAAATCGTTTTTTTCAGAATCAGAATTTGCGGTCCCTGATGAATTGCGAGGGCTTTTTGCGCCGACGTCCATGCCCCTCGGTTTCTCTCCAGGCCGCATATCCGTCTGTCGGGAAAATAATGAGCGCAATTTCTTTTTTTATTAATAATATCGGTCTGTCGGGAAAATAACGGCGGATCGTCGCGCCTCGGAATCATCCATTATCGCTCTGCGACTGCAAGCCGCGGCTTGGGATTTGGTGCGCGATAGCGGCGAGGCGCGACATTTTGATGCGACGATCCGCCGTTATTTTCCCGACAGACTGATAACGAGCATAATGTCGCTGAAGTGAAAAGCAACTTGATTTCGCCGCGAAGACAATTCATTTTCTCTGCGATTTCTGATGCGACATTGTGATCGTTACTTTCCCGACTTACTGACTCCACTACGTTTTTTTAAAAGTGTAGCGACACAGTTCGAAATGCACTTTGCCGCGCGATATTCGGTTGCACACCCCAACTTTGATTAAAATTGGTCTGTCGGAAAAATAGTGAGCGCAATGTCGCATCGAAAATCGCATCGCCGCAGTGTCGCAGCAACACCAAATTTGCTTTTCATTTCATCGCCACGGTTGGCCGAGCGACATTGCCCTCATTATTTCCCCGACAGGATAATTGCCCTCTCCTTGTGAATCAATCAATTCATAATCTCCTTTCAGGATGGTACCGCGAGTGCTCGATAATCCCGCACACCACGGACATTGACTTTGGCCTCATGATCTCCAACTACTCCCGAGAATTCGAACATCTCCTCGACCGAAACTACGAGTTGTTCTGGGCATTGGGCGATGGGAACACCTCAATGGAGCTCTCTTTTCATGTGGGCAACGTCAAAACCGACCTGTTCTTCTTGTTCGACTACAACTCCACTCATTCGTATTTCTCGGGAATGCTGGTTTCGGCACGAAAAGAGTTGTTTTGGATCTACCCGAAAATCGACAGGATATGCGCCGGCAATTTGCTGGGCAGCCTGATGTATGTTCCGTGCAATACGGAGGAGTTTTTGAGGGTAGGTGAAGAGTTTTAAAAAAAAAGTAAAAACAGAAAAATTTCAAAAATTTTTCAGAAAATCTTTTATCTCACGCTTTAAATGATTACAAAAAAGTCAAAAATTAGTCTGAAAAACACCGAAAAAATTTCAAACCGGCTACTTTTTAGTCAAAAAATTCTGTCGGGATAATAATGAACACTCTGTCCCTGCGCCAATTGCATCGCTGAAGTGAAAGCAATTTGATTTTCTCGCGACACAATTCATTTCCTTGGCGGCGCACGTCAAACTGAGATAATCTAAAACAGTCCGGTGAATGGATTGGCAATTTGCCAAAAAAAGACGCGAAAAAACGTTTTGTCGGGGAAGAAATGGGGAATTTTTGGGGCGAGAGAGTACGTTTTTGCGTGTCTTTTTTCTCTCTTTCTCTGCGAAATAGACGAAGTGTAAAAAACCGATAGCGAAGAGTCTATTCTGGTCACCGGACTCCTCAGTTTGACGTGCGGCGATACGATTTTTGATGCGACAGAGTGCACATAATTTTCCCGACAGACTGATAAAGCACTCTTTTAGCCATATCTCTAACATTGTCCTTCATGGTAGAGATAGAGATGAAACTTTTCATGGCAAAATTTGCTTTAAGCTATCGCATTTTGGCGTCTTTTCGAGCTAAAAATCTCGGTTGTTTCTGCTAAGTGCGCGCTAGGATTCTCGGATATGTCTTCGAAAGTTTTATTGTAAACTTTTCCAAGTTTCATCAAAATCTGAGTGTCCCACTTCCCCTATAAAGCAAGATTTTCATTTTTTGCTGACGTATATTTACCTATTAATATTAACGTATATATGAACATTTTAGGCCGACTATGGGCCGGACTGGATGGTCGATTCCCCATCGAGAAAGTACTACTTTGACAAATCTGGAAAGAATATTATGCCCGGGAAGACGTTCACCAAACAGCAATGGAGGCATGTCTATCGGCAGCTGCGTGGCTACAAGAAGCACAGTAGTTAGAGACATTTCTATCGACAATTCTAGTCGCTCTAAAATTTTGTTAAAGTACTGAAGTCACATATTTCGCTAATGTTTTTTTATACGGGTGGGCATTATTTCGACCATATCAAAACTTCTTGATCTCTATATTTGATTATTGTTATTGTTGACGAATAAATGGAGAATGTAAATTTGCTTCTCTACTCGATGTTTCTGGTTCGAAATTTATATTACAATAAAGCTAAAAGTTCAGGTCAGCGATACTAGGGACCGCCTCGGTTCGCCGTTGTATGGGGCAGGCTAAGAGAAGGCTTAATTAGAGAGGAATAATAAGATTGATCGGTTCCTCGGATAGCTCATCACCTATTTGAAGTAATATTTTACATGTACTCACGTCTACAGTATCCAGATAAAAGTTACGGATCCTCGTTTTTTGCCAAAAATTTTGGTCTTTTTTATTCATGTTCATTTTAAACTGTATAAAACACAATTGAATGAGATTTCGGGGTAAAGAAACTAACAGCTAAAATTAGAAAAAGTGGACATATTATAAGCCTCCGCCAGGTCTTCGCCAAGTGTCAGATTCCACGGAACCTGGAGTTATCCACGATGCGTCAACTCGACGGAATTTACGGAGAGAGAGATGTCCCCTGTGTCAACTGTTTCCCCAGTTGTTTATCCCCGATGTTCGAGAATGTTCGATGGAGAGATCCCGAAGCGGAGATCCTGAATCACGACACCGTAACCTTCGCCGAGGTTTTATCCCGTATTCACTTTGGTCAGAAGTAGTTGTAGTTGTAGTGTTGTAGTTGTCGTGTGTTGTGAAGTGTTGTGTTGTTGTTTTTGAGTAATTGTGTTTTATTGAGTTTTTTTGTAGTTGTTATTCCATTGATAAATCATTTATTCGAGCTGATTTGATCTTATTCTCGTGTTCATATTTAAGGGGAACGATATCTTTCGATTACCCGACATCCACATACGCAACCTTCCACTTGGGAGGCCGAGTTATTTCAGGTAGAATCGGTAGCGTAAGGTAATCGACAGAAGAAACCACCGCAAGACCACAGCCAGATCGTTGAATTTCTTTTCTATCCGAAGGTGGAATCGGACACCAAGCCTAGTGTCCGCCGAGTATCCATCGGTTTGCCAGGCCCCGTAGACATTTCATACAACCTTTTTTCGGGTATAAAACTGCCCTACTATCCGGTTCGATCGATTTTGTGTTGACCCAAACTGTAGACGACCCGAAAAGTCGGGTCGCGGTTTTTTGATACCTTGCCGTTTTTTTTCATTTTTTACTGTGCAATTCACAATGAACAAAATTATTTTCAATTTTTTGTGTTTATTAGGATTATTACTGTGTGTAAAAATATACATATTTGCACTGTTTGGACCTGAATTCGAAGGCTTACAACAATATAAGATTAGAGTAGGAGGTTATGTTATATCTGCATTGGGAAGAAACAACCTTAAGGCTCAATATGAGAGAGTGTTCTGCGCTAATGTGGACGAGTTGAGAGAGGGATAAATAGGGCAAAGAGGCAACAACAACAATGACTAGAGGGCCCCAAACTTTTCTTCGATTTTATACAGTGACGGATCTGATCCAGTGACAAAAAACGTACCATTTTCCATCCGGGAAGTATTAAAAATGTGGCAAAATGCCTCGATGTCTAACTAAAAAACTCTGTTTTTAAGGGTTCCCTCACAAAAAGCTCGGAGTGCTTCTGAAATCTGAAATCGGAGTTTTTTCACTTGGAGAGAGAGGTATTTTGCCAAATTTTTTGATGCTTCCCGGATGCAAAATGCTACGTTTTCTGCCATTGAATAAGGTCCGCCGCTGTAAGCCTATAGGACAGTTATCAATCAATACCAGTCTGTCGGGAAAATAATGTGGAGTTGTCGCAGTAAAATATCTCGCGTAGTCGCAAAAAATTTCTAGCCGCTGAGCCGTCACAATTGATGGCGATTCCAGCGCGACGAATCCACATTATTTTCCCGACAGACGAATATCTCGAATGCTATTGCAAAGCGTCCCATTTCGAATGCTACCCTTGTAAATTCACACGTAAATTTAGTAAAAATTGTAAACTTACACGAAAAATTTAGTTAAGAGAAAAGTGGGACACCCTCTGCGAAAGTCCAAAAAAAAATATATAATTATTCTAAAGAGGTTTCGTTGTACAGAAAAGACAAAAAAACTCAATTTTTGGGCGCACATAATCGCACCCATTTAAAAACCGAAGCCATTTTCGACTTCTGCACCGAGATTTGACTGTCATTCCGATGCCGCAACACCCCAACCAATGGCGTTGTGCCCTCCGCCGGCAGCGAATTCGCTTTTCGGAGTGTCATATGCCCCGAGGGCTTGTTCTGCGCGGCTTCGTCCTCCTCCTCATCACTGCCGTACTGAATCTCCTCGCAGAAGCCGAAGTGAACGTGCCGTTTGATGGGGTCGTCGGGCGTGAGCCGACTGAAACTCGGCGACGACTCGGGCGGATTCGCCGCGCTCTCGTCCAGGTTGCGGATCGAGATGCGCTTGCTGCGCCGACGATGCGGCTCCGCCGAGACGGGACTCGTCGAGGCGGAGGAGTCGGGTGTGGACGAAGTGGAGGAGCAGATCATGTTGGAGTTGTTGTCGTCGAGCGATAGGCGAGGAATGCGAGCTGAAAAAGAGAGATGTTAGAAAAAATGATTACAAAAAAGTCAAAAAATCAGTGAAAAAACAATCGAATCTTTTTTAAAAACTGATAAATTTTTAGTCAAAAGATTCTGTCGGGAAAATAATGAGCACTCTTTCGCTGCGCCAGTCTCTTCACTGAAGTGAAAAAAAAACAATTTGATTTTCATCGCGAGACATTTGTTTTCTCGGCGGCGATGCGATTTTCGATGCGACAGAGTGCCCATTATTTTCCCGACAGATTGATATAAAGTCCAAGGATCTGATCTTAGGGCACTAAATCCTCGCACACCTTCTATAGCAGTTATCAAAATTCGTTATAAGCTGATATAATATATAATATATAAAATCGTCGGGAAAATAATGTGGGTTTGTCGCCGCGAAAATTGCATCGCTGCTGAGAAAATGAATTATGGGGGACAAAATCAAATTTTTTTTTCACTTTAGCGACACGATTTTCGCGGTAACATTGTGCTCATTATTTTCCCGACAGACTGATATTTTAATATCAGTCTGTCGGGAAAATAACGGCGGCTCGTCGCAGCAAAATGTCTCGCCTCGTCGCTATCGCGCACCAAATCCTCAGTCGCGGCTTGCAAAGTGATGATGGGCGATTCCGAGGCGCGACGATCCGCCGTTATTTTCCCGACAGACTGATAGCCCATCCGGAAAGTCGCCGGAACTGAAATCGGCGACAAGCACGGTGCGAAAATAAAAGTTTTCTTTGCACTGTGCAATTTCTTGCTTTTTGCACCGTGCAAGAAGGCAAATACAGTACTTGCCCTTACCCCCCAAAAAGTCGCCCCTTTTCCCCTACAGTAATCCCAGAATCATCGAAAAAAATTTTTTGACCAAATTACGGCCATTACTCGCCTTATATCCGACAAACATCCTCCCCTTCGTCTCTTTGACGGAAACAACACCCTGCTGCGGCCCTAAAAATAATCCGCTAACGAAATGCGTTGACGTCAATGCCTCCCGTTATACGGTCTAATCCCCCCCTAAAGCGCGGCGCAATGATCCCACACGGTAAAGATTTTGAAAGGAGAAGTGCGAAGGAGAAATGTTCTCGAAGCCGGATCCAAACTTTTCCATCCTGAAATTAGTCTCCGGGGCTTCGGAGGAAGGAGTGGAATCGTAAAATCGTAATGGGAAGCCTTGCAAGGCCCTACAAGGCTTTCCATAAAGTGCGGAGACTTTTTTCCCCGGCGCACAGTGCATTTTTCTTTCATTTTCGAATTGCACAGTGCAGAAGGTGAAATGCACGGTGCAAAAGATGAAATGCACGGTGCGAAAACCTTTGCGATGTCGCAAACTTTCCGCACAGTGCATTTTTCGTCTTTTTTTCGAATTGCACGGTGCAAAACATGAAATGCACAGTGCAAAAGATGAAATTCACGGTGCAAAAGGTCAAATGCACAGTGCAAAAAGCTCTGCGACGTCGCAAACTTCCCGCACAGTGCATTTTTTCTTTCGGAAAAACGCACGGTGCCTTTTTCTTTCATTTTCGAATTGCACAGTGCAAAAGGTGAAATGCACGGTGCAAGATGGAATGCACGGTGCAAAAGGTGAAATGCACCGTGCGAAAAGCTTTGCGATGTCGCAAACTCTTCGCACAGTGCATTTTTTCTTTTGGAAAAACGCACAGTGCATTTTCCTCTTTCTCTTTTTTTTGCACTGTGCAATGTCTGAAAAAATCACGGCGATGCAGAAGAAAAAGCTTATGTCGCACGATTTTTCAATTGCACAGTGCAAAAGGTCAAATGCACAGTGCGAAAAGCTTTGCGACGTCGCGAATTTTCCGCACGGTGCATTTTTCTTTCATTTTCGAATTGCAGAGTGCAAAAGGTGAAATGCACGGTGCAAAAGATGAAATGCACGGTGCGAAAAGCTTTGCGATGTCGCAAATTTTCCGCACAATGAATTTTTTTCTTTTGGAAAAACGCACAGTGCATTTTTCCTCTTTCTCTTTTTTTGCACTGTGCAATTGCTGTCGCGCGCCCAAAACCGCGACGGCGCAGTTGAAAAAGCTTATGTCGCACGATTTTTCAATTGCACAGTGCAAAAGGTCAAATGCACAGTGTAAAAAGCTCTGCGACGTCGCGAATTTTCCGCACGGTGCATTTTTCTTTCATTTTGGAAAAATGCACAGTGCATTTTTCCTCTTTCCCTTTTTTTGCACTGTGCAATGTCTGTCGCGCGCACAAAAATCGCGGCGACGCAGTTGAGAAAGCTTATGTCGCGCGATTTTTCAATTGCACAGTGCAAAAGGTCAAATGCACAGTGCGGAAGATTTGCGACTTTTCGCACTGTGCATTTCACCTTTTGCACTGTGCAGTTCGAAAATCGAATCATAGTGCACGGTGCGCCGAGAAAAAAAAAGTCTACGCACTTTACGAAAAGAATTCTAGTCTGTCGGGAAAATAATGAGCACAAGTTCGCTACGTAGATCACGTCGCTGAAATGAAAAAAAAAATTATTTTACCGCGACACTTCATTTTCTCGGCGGCGACACGATTTTCGATGCGACAGAGTGCTCATTATTTTCCCGACAGACTGATATGTAGTATATAATCGTATTCAGGGAATGTTTTTTTTAGTAAAAGCTTCGAGAGGAGAGGGTGAAATTAGGGCTAATAGTTGAGACGAGCGCTAGACAATGAGCCTGTAATTGTCCTTTTCGGATCCGAAGAATCTGACGTGCACTCTGCGTAATGAAAAATTTAGAGAAAGCCTTCGGTGTTTTGAGAAGCCTAATGAGGCTGGATTTTTTTCATTAATGGATTTTTTTTTTGACGATACGGGCAGCTTACATGTGATAAAATGGAAAAAAGTCTACGCACTTTTGAAAAAAAAAATAATGATGAATCCATTCACACTTATTTTTACCATAAAAGGATATTTCCCTACAAAAAAAAGTAATCTTTTTCCACGCGATATTGGTAAAGATATGGCCAAAAAATGTTTTTTTTCTCGCCCTCCAAATTTCACGTACTCTCTCGGCCGCAAAGCATGTTGAATTTCTCAGCTGCCTCTGCAAAGCGCGAGCTAAAATTTTCAAGAATTGATACTTGACCAGTGCCCGACGTGCGTGCCAAATTTAAAGAAAATCCGAGCGTCGTACTCGGAGCACTTTCCTTGTTAGCGGAGCGTAAGTAAAATGTTGAAAACTCAAACATAAACATGAAAGACCAGAAAAGAATGGCTTCAAAACCCGTAAATCCCCTTTTTTGAGCGAACCCGAGTCCAGGTTGCTTTGTTTTGTTCGAGAATTGAGCGAGAAGGTTACAAAAAAAGGAAGTTTTTACTCTCTGATCTCTCTGATCTATGAGTCTAGAGTGTAATATTGAACTTTGGCGATATACATATATTACATTTTTCTCGAAAATTTTTTTTTTATTCCTACTGTATACTAGTCCGCCCGGAAAGTCGCCGGACTGATTTTTGACGCTTGCACTGTGCGAAAGACGTCAGGGTGCCAGCGACAGCAGAAAAAGGGTAAATTGCACTGTGCAAAGAAAACTTTTGTTTTCGCACCGTGCGCATCGCCGAACTGACTTTTTTGGCGCTTGCACTGTGCAAAGAAACTCAGGGTGCGAGCGACAGCCCAAAAAGCCGATTGCACCGTGCAAAGCGAACCTTTGTTTTCGCACAGTGCACAAACACAGAATACACTGTGCGCCGTCAGGGTGCGAGCGACACCCGAAGAAAGCCTACCGCACTGTGCAAAAAGCAAGAAATTGCACAGTGCAAACCGAACTTTTATTTTCGCACAGTGCACAAACACAGAATGCACTGTGCGCCGCCAGGGTGCAAGCGACACCCCAAAAAAGCCGATTGCACCGTGCAAAAAGCCGGAAATTGCACAGTGCAAAGCGAAGTTTTATTTTAATCGCCGATTTGCCTCCGGCGACTCTCCGGAAGGGCGTATTTTCATAAAGTGCATGGATTTTATGAAATAAAATTCTGTCGCGGCCCGCACTGTGCGAAAAAATACTCGATTTTGCACTGTGCATCTCACTTTTTTTTGGTTTTTGTAAAGCCTACTGCACGGTGCAAGAATGAAAAAATTGCACAGTGCAAAGCTTCTTGGGCCGCCTGTCAGTCTGTCGGGAAAATAATGAACACTCTGTCGCATAAAAAATAGGATCGCTAGAAATTAGAAAAACGACTGATAGTCGATTTTTTCAAAAATCAAAAAAAAAAATTTCGAAAAAAATTTCAAAAAGATAAATAAAAAATTTCAGCGCCTTCGACCGTCCGCTGCCACACAAAAGGCAAAAACAGCACTTATATGAAAGCGAATTTGATCATGTGACATGATTGGTAATTTGTTTACTGAGAACGAAAACAAAAAATAGGGAGGGTGTTTGGGGCGGAACGCCCTTTTATAAAGCTTATACAGTTGTACCGAGGGGGGATGCGCAGTAATTTTTAGTCGCTAAAAAGCATGAAAAGACGTTTTTCAAGGCAAAAATTGCCAGGATTTGCCTGTAAAAAGTCTTATTGGTACTTTTAGAATTGATTTTTGGCTGCATCAGAAAAATCGTATTCCAAAAAAAAATTTTAAAAAATCTCCCAATTGCGACGCTCAGATTTGCTTTAAAATTTACACACACAACATACATAGACCACATATCAATCCCTGAAAATTTCAGCTCGCCCTTTGCAGACGCTGCCGAGATATTCAACGGCCTTTTTCGCCGAGAGAGTACGCGAAACGTGGAGAGCGGTCAGAGAAAAATCGCTTTTCGGCCCATATCTTTGTCAGTTTCGCGCGGAAAAAATTGATTTTTTGTGGAAAAATTATACTCTACGGTAGAAATAAACATGAAAATTTTCAAGCCAAAATTCGCAAATTTTTTTTTTTTTTTTTCGATTTTCGATCTAAAAATCTCGCTCTTTTCTTTATGAAAATGCTAATATGAGTCAATTTCTACATGAACTTTTATAGACGGAGTAAAGTATAGAGCAAAACCATTAAAATTTCGTCACAAAAGCGCACTTTTTTGTTTTTTTTTTCTTTTTTTTGTTTGTAAGAGGCTTCCAGAACATTTTGTTACCAAATTCCCATTATCGTCATCCGATTATGGAGATAAGGGACAACGATTTCGGGATAAAGGGATTAAGTTGCGCTTTTCCAGAAGAATCGGAGGGAAAAAAAGCTTTTTTATAGCCTATGCGCCGCCTCAGCGACGTAGTTGAAACTTGTTGATGTCGCAGCGATATTTCAAAGGTAAATGTATATGGAATATAGAAAAAACCAAAAAAAAGGTAAAATGCACGGTGCAAAATCGAGTACTTTTTATATTTTTTTTCGCACGGTGCATGCCACAACATAATTTTATTTCATAAAATCCATGCACTTTATGAAAATACGCTCTTCCGGAGAGTCGCCGGAGGCAAATCGGCGATTAAAATAAAACTTCGCTTTGCACTGTGCAATTTCCTGCTTTTTGCACGGTGCAATCGGCTTTTTGGGGTGTCGCTCGCACCCTGAGTTTCTTTTTGCACAGTGCATTTTGTTTTTTTGCACCGTGCGAAAATAAAAGTTCGGTTTGCACTGTGCAATTTCGCTTTTTGCACAGTGCGGTAGACTTTCTTCGGGTGTCGCTCGCACCCTGACGGCGCACAGTGCATTCTGCGTTTGTGCACTGTGCGAAAACAAAGGTTCGCTTTGCACGGTGCAATCGGCTTTTTTGGGCTGTCGCTCGAACCCTGGGTTTCTCAGAGTGCGCACTGTGCACAAAAATCCCCGATTTTATGCACCGTGCAATCATCTTTTTTTTTTAGTTTTGCACTGTGCGTTTGAAATATCGCTGCGACGCAAGTTTTTCTCAACTGCGCCGCCGCGGTTTTGCTCAAAAATGTGCACAGTGCAATCGGCTTTTTTCAGGTTTGCACGGTGCGCAAAGGGAAAGATCCACAGTGCGTTGGCGACAAAAATTCAAGATGCACTGTGCAAGACGCCAAATGCACAGTGCGAAAAGTTTGCGACATGCGGCGACAAGAGTGGAAAAAATAAAATTCGAGATGCACAGTGCGAAATCAAAAAAATGTCTGCACAGTGCAAACGGCTTTTCTTTGGTTTGCACTGTGCGAAAAGAGAAAAAAGAGAAAAATGCACTGTGCGTTGGCGACAAGAGTGGAAAAAATAAAATTCGAGATGCACAGTGCGAAATCAAAAAAATGTCTGCACAGTGCAAACGGCTTTTCTTTGGTTTGCACTGTGCGAAAAGAGAAAAAAAGAGAAAAAATGCACTGTGCGTTGGCGACAAGCGTGGGAAAAAGTTCAAGATGCACAGTGCGAAACCAAAAAAGAGCAAAATGCACGGTGCAAAATGGGGGGTTTTTTGCGCACAGTGCGGGCAGCGACAAATGTCCATGCACTTTATGAAAATACTCATAGTAACTTTTTTGTCAATCTTATCAGTCTGTCGGGAAAATAATGAGCACAGTGTCGCCGCGAAAATTGTGAGTGAAAAAAAAATTTGATTTTCTCGCGAGACAATTCATTTTCTCAGCGGCGATGAGCCGATTTTTGATGCGACAGAAAGCACATTATTTTCCCGACAGACTGATATTATTATAGTAAAAAAAGTATAATTCAAAATTTTCCAAAGCAACTCACGATGGGTAGCGGCCGCCGCGTTCGCCGCCCTCCTCGGCGCACAGCCCACACTGTTCGAGCGTCGCTGCCCGTACAACGCGTAGTCCTTCTTCACCAGCGGCACAATGAAGGCCATGTTTTTTGGGGGGTTTTGCAACAAAAAGAAATGTTTTCGGAACTGTCACTTTTGCTGAAATCGAACGCATAGATCAAAAGAGGGCGAAAAATAGAAAAAAATAGAAAAAGAAATCACGCGACAAGCGGTACGTCAAAGATCCTCGGTGTGTTTTTGTTATTTTTGAGGGGAAAAAAGGCAATTTTGGAAAAAAAAATAATTTTTTTTGGAATGGGGGAGGTCCTTAAGCCGAGGGCACCGTGAAAAACAACGGATTTTAATTTGATTCCGAAGATTTTCATCCCAGATTACCATGAACTTGAGGGCAAAAAACAATAAAATACAAAGATAAAAAATGAAAACTGTCCATGTCAGACATGGTAAAGGATTTCAGGTCTACGGTAGTTTGTCAGACGGATTAAAAATTTTTGGAAAACAAACGCCCGCTTGAAAATGCAAATCGTTTTTTGACGGACTCCAAAAAGAAGGTGTCTTTGAGAGTTCGCCCGGACTGAAATCCGCGACACGCACTGTGTGAAAACAAAAGTTCGCTTTGCACTGTGCAAATAGCTTTTTTAAGCTGTCGCTCGCACCATGACTTTTTCGCACAGTGCAAAGACCAAACCCCAGTGCATTTTGATTTTTGCACTGTGCGACAAAAGTTCGCAATTTCTTGCGTTTTTGCACTGTGCAAATGGCTTTTTTGGGCTGTCGCTCGAACCCTGACTTTTTCGCACTGTGCAAAGACCAAACCTCAGTGCATTTTGATTTTTGCACTGTGCGAAAACAAAAGTTCGCAATTTCTTGCGTTTTGCACAGTGCGGTAGACTTTCTTCGGGTGTCGCTCGCACCCTGACGGTGCACAGTGCATTTTGTTTGTTTTTGCACTGTGCGAAAACAAAACCTTGCTTTGCACTGTGCAAATGGCTTTTTGGGCTGTCGCTCGCTCCCTGACTGTTTCTGCACAGTGCAAACGCCAAAAATCAGTCTGTCGGGTAAACAATGAGCAGTCCGTCGCATTGAATATCGCGTCGCCGCCAAAAAATGAATTGTGTCGGGGAAAGACCAAAATGCTGTTCAATTCACGACGCGAATGGCGCAGCGACTTGTGCTCATTATTTTCCCGACAAACTGATATTCGGTTCATCTTATACAAAAATTGACCCATTTTCGTGTGAAAAATGTTGATTTCTTGTGGAAACATTATCCTCTACGGTAGAAATAGTCATGAAACTTTTCGTGTCAAAACTCGCAAAAAAAGTGACGAAGTTTTTCCAACTTCCGACCGAAAAATGTCGGTTATTTTTGTAAAACGAGAGCTCGAAGTCTGGCAAAAAAAATTAACGATAAATCCCGAGAAAACGGTCTTATCGGTCTGTCGGGAAAATAATGAGCACTCTGTCGCATCGAAAATCGCATCGCCGCTGAGAAAATGAATTCTGTCGAGGAAAAATCAAATTGACTTTCACTTCAGCGACGCGATCAACGTAGCGACAATGTGCTCAATATTTTCCCGACAGACTGATACTAGCATTTTCACAAAGTGCGTAAACTTTTTCACTGTGCATGTCGGTTTTTTCGTCTTGTTTTACGCGATCAAGTGCACTGTGCAAAAGATATTTTTCATGCACAGTGCGGCACACAAGGAAAAGTCTACGCACTTTATGAAAATAATAAGTCGGTTTGCGAAGCCGCCTGAGCGATTTCGGCAACCTGCACTGTGCAAAAAACATCAGGGTGCGAGCGACAGCCCAAGAAAGCCATTTGCACAGTGCAAAAAGCAAAAAATTGCGAACTTTTCTTTTCGCACAGTGCAGAAATCAAAATGCACTGGGCTTTGGTCTCTGCACTGTGCGAAAAAAGTCAAGGTGCGAGCGACAGCCCAAAAAAGCCTTTTGCACAGTGCAAAAAGCAAAAAATTGCAAACTTTTGTTTTCGCACAGTGCAAGACGAACTTTCTGGTTTCTCCCAGTGCACGTCACCGAAATCACTCCAGCGACTATACGAACGGACTGCTAAACGCTCAATAGCTCACTAGTCCACACGCCTACAAAAGGCCACCTCTGCACGAAACTGGAATTTAAATATATTTAAATACTGGTTGCACGCATACCTCCAAAATGGCCTTACCATTTGACCCCCGAAACGAAACCCTCCCGAGGCATTTTATATTTTCGGTCACGCGGATTGATGACATATACGTGCTTTTCTCCGTCTGAAGCTGGAGGGCAAATAAACATCTAGTTAGCGGAGGGAAACGGCTGGATGATAAATGCAAACCCCGTAATTCGAATGGATCAAAAAACGAAAAGATAGGTAGATTTTGGGAAGATGAGAGTTTAATTCTTTGTCGAAGGTTAAGAATTAAAAAAAATAGAAAATGACGCCTATGGGTTTATTATTGTGATGGTGAAATGAACGCAAGTGCCGAAAAGATCCGCCGGGCAGTAAGGCTGGCAAAAATATTTGCTTTTCTTATCAGTCTGTCGGAAAAATAACGGCGGATCGTCGCAGCAAAATGTCTCGCCTCGCCGCTATCGCGCACCAAATCCCAAGCCGCGGCTTGCAGTCGCAAAGCGATGACAAGCGACTCCGAGGCGCGACGATCCGCCGTTTTTTTCCCGACAGACCGATACCCCAGTGGTTTAGGAGGCTTATTATTTAGTAAATATTTATTTTCATAAAGTTCATGGACATTTTTTCGCTTTCGCGTAGTGAATTTTGAACTTTTTCCCACGCTTGTCGCTAACGCACAGTGCGTTTTTTGCCATTCTTTTTTTGCACAGTGCAAAACACAAAACAGCCGTTTGCACTGTGCAAATTCTTGGCATCGACCGCACCGTGCAGAAATCAAGAAAAGACTTTTTTTGCACGGTGCAAAATCGGGTTTTTGCGCACTGTGCACAAACAGAGCATTTTGAACTTTTTCCCACGCTTGTCGCTAACGCACAGTGCATTTTCCCTTTTCGCACAGTGCAAACCTCAAAAAAGCCGTTTGCACTGTGCAAACTTCCAGCGACAAAGTTGAAATTTCGCCGTGTCGCAGCGATAATTCAAATGCACAGTGCGAAAAACCCAAAAAAAGTGAAACGCGCGGTGCAAAAAGGGGGTTTTTTGTGCACGGTGCGGACTGCGACAAACTTGCACAGTGCATTTGAAACCTTTTCCCACGCTTGTGAACTTTTGTCGCTAACGCACAGTGCACTTTTCTCTTTTCGCACAGTGCAAACCTCAAAAAAGCCGTTTGCACTGTGCAAGCAAAACCGCGGCGACGCAGTTGAAAAAAGCTTCCGTCGCGGCGATTTCGATGCACTGTGCGAAAAAAATATAATAAAAAAATGAAATGCACGGTGCGAATTCGGATTTTTTTTTGCACTGTGCAATGGTTGAAACTCGTTTTTGTCGCGGCGATGTTTCGATGCACAGTACGAAAAACAAGGAATGTCAAAATGCACCGTGCAAAAAACAGGGGTTTTTGTGCACGGTGCGGGGCGCGACAAATGTCCATGAACTTTTTGAAAATACTAATATAATGTGAAGACTTATGGCGTGGATTTCAAAAAAAAAAAAAAAAAATAATCCATTTTTTTTTTGATTTTTACTCTCTTTTCTAATCAAAAAAGTCAAAACATACTGTATTATAATTTCCAGTACGCAATTTTTGTAAGAAAATTCAAGAATTTTTAATTTTTTGCTGAATATGCAAATTTTTCGCACACTTCCAGTAGTCCTAGCAAAAAGGTGTCAATATGGAATGTGCTTAGATTCAATCATTCTATAACACTGAAAAGGTCCGGAGTCAATCCAGCAACTAGTCGAGGAGAAACGAAAAATCTAAAAATGTTACAGTATACCTACAGTAAGCCAAAATTTTAAAATTTTACCTGCCCATTTTAATACACTGGTAACTAGCTAACTACGGTAGGAATTTCAAGTCTCTACTGTAACATCTTGTTTTTTGTGCACAGCCAACTCGAGTCTCTCGCAAAACCTGTTTTAAAACACACAAGTACGAGTAAAGATTAGAAAAAATGGACTGGATTTTCAAAGTCAGCACGGTCGATTACCCCTTCAGATCTCATTGAGCATATAAAAATCTTTTTTTTTTCAGACCTTTTTGACCTTTTAGTAAGCAACGGAAATGAAAATGCCAGTCTGTCGGGAAAATAATGAGCAAAATATCGCTGCGCCCATCGTGTCGCTGAGGCGAAAAGCAATTCGATTTTGCCGCGATACAATCCATTTACTCGGCGATGTGATTTTCGCTTCGACAGAATGCTCATTATTTTCCCGACAGACTGATATAGTAAGAATTATGTACAGCAAAGTGTCCAGACACCGGTTATGGCGGGATATAGAAGGAAAGACTTTATAAAGTGGTTTTCGGAACGCATAAATCCCCCGAGGCGTTCGTTAGGGTTCATTGCATATGTCCTTATGACTTGGCTCTAGACAAAAACACTTTTTGGACATATCTTTGGCAGTTTCGTGCAAAAAACAATTTTTTTTGTAACAGCATTACCTTTTTTCGGAAGAATTTACGGAGCGAATTGGTATGGAAAAATGAAGGGAAAAAGTTCCTTATTCTGGCCACAACTAACTAGGAAAGTGTACAAACGAACCCTCGCCAAATGGCAAGTGATATACACGATTGGAAAGCCCTTGAAAAATGGTGCAAGACACCATTTTCATTTTTTGCAGAATGCCTTTCCGCGACGACATACCGTAAATTTCATTATTTTTAGGTCATTCAGTAAGGTATTCTGCGAACTGCGCCCAAGCTTGGGAACTAAAGTTAGGAAAAAAGGCTTCGGCCTAACTGGCACCGAATTACTATAACAGCTCTATAGCTTAAGGGTACCTAACTACCCTTCTCAAGGCGATTGACGACTCATTTAGTTCTATACGCAGGCAATAAGTTTAGTTCCGGACAGGTTTCATCGTATAAAGTGTAAAATCGCAGGCTGCAGCCGGTACCTCAATAACTAAATCCACTGCATTGACAACGATGAATTGAGCGT